CCATATAATATTTTGTACCGGATACGCGTCACAACAATACTTGCACTATAACGCTTACGCAAACAGTATTGTAAACAGTTATTGTAACTCAATAACCAATACCGACCCACCGTATAATACGTATAATACGTCATAAGTAATATAATATAATTGCATAATTATTATTTATTATAGGTACTGCTGATGCTGATGCGTACGCACAATCGCAATATCGTTTTATCGCAATTTACCGCGACACGTGCACGGCACGATGTTTACATAAACATCAATGTATACATTCGACCCGCAATGTCCTTCGGGCCGGGAATGTCCGGTCAGCCGACCGCACCGCAGTCCGCAGTGTCTGTCTTCCAAAAACATTCAATTATAATATTGTTATTATTTATTATTCCAACAACATTTGTCAAGGACACCGCCATTGTCGAAACAAATCGAATTCGATCAGTTATTATTATTTGATTATAATAATATGAATGAGATAGCGTTCATAATATGTGTGATCTATAGACATAGGCGCATCTAGACCATCAACTTTTGGAGTGCTAAAATTATGGACACATCAATGACCCATGGGGGCTATGCCCCAACAATTCTCTTTACACAATTCTTACAATAGTCAACTACATCACTCGTTTACAATTTTGTATATACAAATATATCATAATTATTTTAACGTTATTTTTTATACACACATACATTATTTGTAGAAAACCAACAGGTTGGTTGTCTTGTTCCAATCATTAATTATGAAATACATAGATAAAATATTAGTCGTTACTATGATAAAACTGATAAAGATTTTTTGGAGGCTGCTAAAGACTCCCTAGCACCCCAGTTGTGCCTATGTCCACAGAGTAAGATGGTGTGATCGGTGACACTGATTACGTTATAGATTATGGACCGTTCAAAATTAAATTATTTTTCAACAAACCTAACATTGACCTAAATACATTTTACTCGTATTTGACAGATCGAAATCGGAAATAAAATCGATAGATATCCATAAATAGGTAGGTAATAGTGATTAGTGAGAAACAATTTACTGTACGTTAAAACAAAATATAGTATTATGATGACGGATATGCACCGACGACATGTTAAATTTGCATGGTATATTGTTTAGATTTTAGTTGACTATTGCAAACTAAAGTAGAATAATACAATATTATAATCATTTATTATTAATTATTAAGTAAGAGAGTAAATGTGTACACAAATGACTGAAAACTAAAATGTTGCTGAAAATCACTATTGTGAATATAAACAGGGGCGTGCACACGGGTGGTTTTGGGTGTTCAAACCACCCCCAAATTGACTTTCTTAATTTTCAACATTATTTTGCTTATAAAATAATAAACATGCAAAATGATACATTTTATCCAAGTATAAAAAAATGCTTGAAATCTTAGTTACCCATCCAGTATCAACTGTGACAGAATAACGATCTTTTCCAAATTTATGTCGCATAAAAACATACTTGAGATCAACTACCAGTAAAAACCGACTCACAGTATTGCTCTTCTATCAATCCATAATGACATACGAGTTAAAGTGGTTTGAAAATTTGATTTATCTTCAAACAGGATAGACTTCATTTTATAATTTGTTTTAACTCGGATTATAAGTTATTTTTTTTTATATATTTATACATAATACATACTAGTATTAACTATCTAATTCGTTCACACAATATCTAAAAAGATGCAGAATTTTTGTTCCGTGGTACTTTATTTGAAACCCTATCGACATTTTCAGCATTTCACTCCAGCTAGGTTTAGCTGACTTAGAAGGCCGGTCTTTTCTTTTTGTTGTTTGATATTTGTTTTTAATAATCATTAATTCAACGTTGCATTTTCAATATGTAAACTAAATTATACCCTGGATAGCCGGATGTACCTATATACTTTTTCCGTTACCAAATACTAACTTACAAAAATGTCAAAAGAAATTTAACATCACACAAATATAAAAATGCCGTTACGAAAAAGTATCTTTTAGATAATAGAAAACAAGTGATTTGTAGAATAATTATTAAGAATTTTAATACGCATTGTTTATAAGTCGTAACATTATAGGTATATCATGATTATAATATTCTCGAATAATAAAAATTTTATTTTATTTAAAATTATACATAAACTGTTCAAAATATTTAGTAATTATTAAACTAAAATTAGAATCGTATATAGACCAGGGGTAAACCACAGGCGATTTAAATGTCGATCTCCCTTTACTTAGAAATTATTTTTATGTAACTAATAGATAAATCTAAATCTCTGATCATTTTTATCCTAATATATCATCATTATTTTGTTGTCAATTTATCAAGTAATACAATTCAATAGCGTTTATACTGGCAATTGTATTTACAATAATAGTATTATGTTAGTCTTAATAATAGCGTGATGAAAAACATTGTTTAACCATATTATATTTTATAGGTTTATTATTTGTACATGTGTGTTTATTATATTAGTATCTATTAAGTCATTTTATAACTACACATTTTTGTTAGGAAGTCGACCGTCAAAGGAAATAATATAATATATTCTTAGAAGATTTTTGCCAAAAAACAGTTTGGCCACCCCTGCTATAGACTGTAAAGCTATTAACACTAACCTTCTGTAATAGGTCTACGATTCGCATAGTTTCTGCGGGTGCCTTTATATTATAATATTATACGTATATATTATGTGTGAGGGGGTACCTACACCTAAATGTTTACCTATAATTATTAGTTAATAAAATATTTTAAACATGTACAATATATGTATAGAGTAAACTATTTACATACATTTATTATATTCATAAAATAACATGTATAAAAACAAAACACAATAATAGAATAACAACGCCTACGAAACATAATCATTACGCTAATGACCTAAGAGTTGTTGAAGCTGTACCACGAATAAAAAATAAAAAAAACATACTTATATATTATAGGTATACAATATATTATATTATTATACAGCATATCGGTCGTTACATAAATAAACGAAGTTATACATATTTGCTTAAGACAATGTACCTACAAGTCGAACGCTTTTTTTTTTCAGCCAAAACCACCGCGACAGTAGATACTATGTTGAAATGTTCGAAAAATAAGGCCGCCATTATTAAGCCTATAATATAGGTATCTATGTGAGGAATTTATAACGTTCAAATATTAAGGTCTACAATGTATACACAATTTGGATATTGATAAATATCAAAATTATCATTAGAAAGTACAAAACTAGAAAAAAAAAAAAACAAATATGCTTGTCCAATAAATAGTAATTTTGGCTTCAATATATAATAATAATATGCGTTTTAATATAGGTAGCTAATTGCGTTCATCGGTTAGGTAATAGGACAAAAAAAAAAAAACAAAATTTACAAACAATTTATTGATTAAATTTAACAATATAAATTATTATTATTAGCATATTGTGTATGTGTGTGTGTGCGCGTGTGTATGTGTTTTGGGACGTTCTTATATTAATTTGGACATTTAATACCCAAATTCTTTACATTTACTAATTTGGAAACGTATATTTTAAAGTATTTCGACTTTATTATTTATATGGATACATTCTACAATAAATTCTGGACGTATATTATATACCTATTATGTACTGGAATATATTTTTTGGACATTTTGACTGCCGGATATTTTAACTTAGCGCTCCGTGTGGCACGTCAAAAGATGAAAGTCAAAATTGCTCTTAGCTATGAGCCAAGTATATATGTGTATACAGGATGATTTTTCATCATGAACCAGTAATTATTTCGGGGTTTTTTAAGGGTAATTCGATTTCTGTTTTTTCTAATCATTATGGAATCGTTTGAGCTTTATTTTAAAACCATTTTTAAATAAATGTGGGTAATAAATTGCCTATCTATAACCTTTCCCTACTCCTATCCGGTCTAAACTTTAGACTCTTACAACTCATAAACGGTATTATCTGATATTAGTGTTGCGCATGTCAAAATTTCTAGAAAAATATTCTCTAATCATATCCGTGTTCAAAAGGGGGATTTCAATTTGAAAATCAAAAGAAAATCATATTACCTACAGTATTTAGGTACATGGAATAGGAGTAAAAAACTAAAAATGGTTTTAAAACAAAGCTTAAACGGTTCCGTAATGATTAGAAAAAACAGATATCAATTTAACTTAAAAAAAACACCGACATAATTACTAATTCATGAACAAAAAAATCATCCTGTATATGGGGAGCGATGGGTTTCACGGGAACTCATGACCTAATAAGCTGAAATTCTTCAAGGTGCGAAGGGGGGGCACAGCCAGATTTACGACTAGTGAAATAAATTTATCACACGTTTTTTAAAACGCTATAAGCCGATAATAATTGCATACCTATTTATGGTACTGATTTTTAGTTGTTTTTTTAATATTATGTAAAGAACTTATTTTTGGGAGGGAAGGGGAGGTGGTTAAGGAGTGGCGTGCCACCTTTTCCCTCACCCGGAATCTACGCCTGCTTTACCCACTTATAAGCATTTATACGCCTATACTGCAGTGTAAGCATAGTATAATAATGATAAATTGCAAAAAACAGTAAATAAAGCAGGCCGTGTGTTTGAGTCAATATTCTGTTGTACTACGCACACACTGGCACACACACACACACGCGCGCGCGCGCGCGCAAATATATCAACAAAATAAATCCGACTGCTTAGCTTACGAAAGGTTTACCTATCGGCTAACGTCCTCGAAAACAAATAATCAAACAATTATCACGCCGCGTAATATTACGAACGATTTTTGAGGAAGTACTTAAAAATATACATAGTTATCGGTATGCGCGTATAATTTCACTAGGATTTTACATTTGCCCGTAAAGTAAAATAATATGCGCACACGCGCGCGAACGTACAATACTATAACGGAATGCAATGCGGAGTCTGATGGTGTATGCGTGTTAGGTGTATTATATACAAAACGACGTGACAGCCGATTCGTCGTGTGCAGTAAAATGCCGCGACCCTCTCTAGACGGGCGGTATTAGCGAGTAAGGCACGTAGGGAATGTCGTGTTGGGGCAAGGCGTACGGGGCCGGCGACTGGACAGTGTCGCCCCCCGACGACGGTGTCGACTGCAGCAGTTCGCTCATGAAGCTGATGTACGTGATGGCCAGCCTGAGCGTTTCGATCCGGGACAGGCGCTTTTCGTACGCGAACGTGGGCACCTTGCGCCGGAGCTTGTCGAACGCCTCGTTCAGGTTGTACATGCGCCTGCGCTCGCGTATGTTGGCCGCGCGCCGTTGCGCCAGCGTCGCCACGCGCCGTCGGATTTTCTTCGACGACGCCATTGACGCGGACTTTTGTGAACTGCTACCGCTGCCACCCCTGCGCCAACGTAACACAAAACAACAAAATATAATAATGCATCTCACACGTTTATTTATCGGAAGTCCGACGGACTTCGGTTAAACGAAATTCAATATTATTATATCTATTATTAATTATTGCTTAATACCTATTGGTATAAGCACACGTACACGTCCGACCGCGAGTACGTGTTTAGATAGATTTGTTGTTGTTTTTTTTTTTTTGGGTGGGGGGGTAGAAAGGAGCTGATTCATTTTTATGTTTAATAAAAAAAAAAAAAAACCGTCGAATACATAGTTATTACTTAATTAGTATTCGTATTATACTGGTTATTGATTCTGTTATCTAAAACACTAATACTAAATTTATGCACAGTTTATGAATAACTATAACTTATAGTCAACAACAGTTCTTAAAGTTTAGAACTTAGTGCGGAGAAGTGAGGGAGCATAATAAACTGTTCGTAATGATTAGATGTTTTATTCGGGGAGGGGGGGTCGTAGTTCCCCGACATCTCTGGGATATTATATTTGTTTTGAATAATATAGGTATGCCGGTTTCCGGGGTTTTTATAGCCTGCAGTTACCGCGAAAGAAATCTGCGGAAACACGCGCCCGTTAATATTGGCATTGTGGACCACGATGAAAAAAATTGAAAAACATATTAGGCATTTTTCCAAACCGGGTCGATAAGGACGATATATATTCGAAAATACAAATTAATGCTAGTTAACTTATGTTTATATGTGTTTTTACAAAAACGAGTATAATGTTTTTTACAAGCTGAATATTATGATATTATCCTACACATGTGTTATTATATACACACAATCGATTTTCCGGAAGCGTAGTTTAATTAGGATTTGTTCGCGTGCGCTGAAAATACACGCAGGTGCACGTGCAGACCGTGCAGTGATAATTATTATAGAAGTCGATATTATGTTTTAATCCGCGTGTTTTTAAATACCCACGTATTGCACAAACTCCGACGGCCGTACATTTTTAAATAGCTTAACGTACGGGTTATCTATTTTTAAGCGGATATAACATATACCATCGAAATTCTGTAGATTTGAAACAAAAAAACAAAAATCGGTTTGATTCGAAATAAATACAGTGTCCACTAATAATATCACTGTATAGTGGAACATGAATACCGATAAATATCGCACCTACGTTTTATTTGATTTCAGATTCGGAGCGTAGCACGTTTTACTATGATGTGTGTATTTATTTTTTTTTCTGTCTGTGAACAACTTTTCTACCGGAAAACTTGCTCCAAAGTATAGACTATAGTACGTCGTTTTCTGTAAGGTAATTTTCTCTAGTTTGTGCGTTGAGAGGCCATTTATTGATTTTCCAAGGAGTTTTCGAAATAATTGAGAAAAACCCGAAGAAAATTATAGGTAAAACGTCAAACATTTACGGGGCGCCGCGACGTTTTCGATATCCAAAGTCGTTTTCATAATAATATTAGGAAAACCGACAAATTTTGATCGATTATTATTTACGGCAACGTACAGTGTCCCGGTTTAATTGTTTTTATATGTTCATTGTTCAACTTGTGTTTTCCATCAGAAATATGGATCCAATAGAAAAACATCAAGAATCCTTTTTTGTTGAATTTGTAATCTAGTTGGTAATTGAGAGATTGGTTTTTTGATTTTCTTTGTAGTTTTTTTAAATAGTTGAGTAAAACTGAAAACTACGTAGACAAATTTACGAAAATAATTCCTTTATTATTTTAAATTTTGTTTTTTTTTTTTTTATATAATGTAAACTTATAACTATTGGCAGAAAATTTATATTTACATTTTCTAGACATAGTAAAACAGAACATTTGAGCAATTTTTGAGATATTTGTTGACACTTTAATTTTGCGAGTTTTGTATGTTAATTTGTATTTGGTACTCTGTAGATAAATCGTAAGACTTAACAAAAATGCTTGGGAATTTGACAGAAGGTTCATTATAAGTCGTACTTAGTGAGGGAAAAAAATAAAATATAATTTTTTTTTATGGAAGTTTTAAAATCAATTTTTGACGACAATCGTAAATATTAAGGCCTTTCAAAACATAGTTGAACTTTGTTCCGAATCGTTTTCTTTATCAATTGTCTTTCGTCGGTTACAGGTATAAATTAAATAACTTTATGTGTCCCACCTTCCCCACTACTCATCTACTACAGTGGCCGCATCCATTCACATTGTTAACTCTTCTTTATTTTTATTATACGTTTTTATTTTAAATGCTTAAAAATATTATACCTAATTGTAAGTTGGTATTAAATAGGTAACTATAATATTTTATTATATTAACATTATATAGTATCACAGGTTATATTTTATATTATTATAGTTTTGTAGAAATAAAAATCAATTTATTATTTTATTCGATACCGTGTTAGGTATCGAATTTGTGTTATATTCGCTACGATTTCGCACCCGGAATTCAAAATATCAAATAACCAATGACATTACCATTACCCAGTGCCGCATTAATCTGAACTGCCGCCCAGCTCCGTGCAATTTTCCGGCCCTGGGCAATTGCTCCCGCTGTTCCCAGTTGTATGTGAATCTGCCATTACCCGAATAAAAGGATTTCAAAGTTATACTAGCCGCGTAACGGAAATTCTTATTCCTCTGTATCCCTAACCAATAATAATTAGTAATTTTGAACGTATATACGACATAATTTGTTAGAATTCGAAAGATGACCGTATGCTCGTTGGCATCTTATTATTTTAATTTTTTAAGGAATTCTACGATAAAATTAAAAATACCATTTATTTATACGATAAATAGCATGAGTCATGCATTAAAATTATCTTTATAGTTTCAGCCAGCAGTAGTTACTACAATATTATAAACACTAAATAGTATATGTGATATAGTATAATACTCGTATAATATGTCTTTGTTTATTTTAATTGCATTGTTAATGCCTGTACGGTATAATAATATAGCCATACAAAATATTGATTAAATTTTTTTTTCAATTTGAGTAACGTGCCTACTTGATTAGAATATACGACGCGTCTATATTATCTTGTAACATCTACAATATAATATTTTATAATAGATATCAATCTTTTACATACAAATTAATGTTCGGTCGTTCATTCGTGATAGATTCAAAGACGACCAAACCAATAGGCATCAAATTTTGCACACATTTCCTCAAAACTCTGAGAGGGATTATAGTTTCCTCTTTTCGATCCATCAAAGTCTCTATAGGGTGGAGCTCACATATTGATTTCGTTCCGGCTCACGAAAAGCTAATTTTTTTTAAATTTATGTATTGGGTTACGGATACTAAAATAGTTATGATAAGAAATTAGCCATTCTATATAAAATGTGAGGTTGAGCGTTCGTGGTAATGAAAAATCTCAAAAACCACTATATCGTTTAATACCATGCATGGACAAATAGAAGAGAAACATCTATTTGTCGATAAACAAACACGTCATGTTTATTCATTTATGGGTAATAATAATTTATTTTGATAATTAAAAAAAAAAAATGTTTTTTTACTAGTTTTCCTGTATCTTTTTTTATATAATTTCTATTTGTGACTTCGTAGGCTACTGACAAAATCCAGACTTTTCTTCTCTATGATTTTTAAATAATTTTTCCTTGGTATTCCATTATCCAACTCTTAATTCTTTGTTTGTGTTATTATCTCGGTACTTGTGTCAGTCGTCGCTAAGCATGGGGTAATTCAAATCAGAAAGTGTAGTTTAAAAAAAATTCAAGTGTTTAAATATGGTATTTGAGAAAAATGTCTTTACTTATTTCGATAGTTATAAAAAACTATTATTTTTAAGTGTTTATTTTCGAGCTTTTAATGAAGTGATTTTTGTTGATTTTAAGTGCTGTAAGTCCCCAATCTTTATTATGCAAATGAAAAATACTTCTCTTATTTCTCTAAACACTTCTATAATTTTTCTGGTATTAAACATAGGCAATTGTAAATATGTAATCAAAAAACGTTATTTGTTTCAATATTAAAAACATACCAGTACGATTTGTTTAATAACATTATTATTGTTAAGGGAAATTTCTTTAACCATTAATAATTAAAGTAAATAAATATATAAATGGAAAATGTATACATAAAAATAAAATAAATAAATGAATCAATGCGTCGCCTGGAGTCGCGTTTTACATTTTGACAGTGATGTCTTACTTATATACTTGATGATAAATTTTTAATTCGAAATCGGTCGAATAATATATACACTTATAATACTCCAAGCGACGCATTAATTCATTAATTTATTTAATTTGTATGTATAAATTTTGTATTTATATATTTATTCACTATATTTAATTATTTTATTATTTTATCATTAATAATTACATGCATGTAAATCATTTTTATAAACATTTCTTTATTTTCTAATATTTTATTATTTTGTATAAATTATAATCATTGTAATCACGTGCTATGTTATCACGTGTTATCTAATCGTGAATGGCTTAACAATGTTTTTTATTATGAGTAAAAACATTAATTATATTAATTGTTTAATTTTTAATTTATAGATTACATATGCCTACTACATAATATAAAAACAAGAACTACAAAATAACATGATTGTATAGAATGTTTTTTCTGTTTTTTTTTTTTTTTTTTTATCTTCGTTACGTCTTCCATATACGTTTTGCGTAATTAAGGAAATAATAATTGGTACCAATGTTCAAAATCGTGTGGAACCATTTAAGCCAAAATGAATTAATTTACGTAATTAAACAATTATTAAATATCTACTTGAAAAATCAAAAAGTCACCTCCCTAAAGTACCAACTTTAACTTTTTGACATTTTGACATGTTCATATACTATGTAATTTTACATAATATATTTCTGTTTCAATTTCATTTGAAATATTTATTAGTCAATAGATTATTATAGAAGTCTTTGTAAAAACTATGATAACACTATGAATGATACGACGGGTGCCCAAATATTAGGAAGAAATATTGTTTCTTCACTAATGTAACAGTCACAGTATGATTTCAATCATTAAACCAAATCGACATTAAGTCCTCAACAAACCATATTAGATTTAGAGCGTTCTATTGGTTTTACTATGATATATGTTTTTTTTCTGTCTGTGAACAACTTTTCTACCAGAAAAACTTGCTCTGAAGTATAAACTATATCATCTTATTTTTTGATCTCTTTGTCTACTATCATTTTTTCTAAAAGTTAATTTTCTCTTGTTGGTACATTGGGGAGATCATTTTTTATTTTCCAGTGGGTTTTTGAAATAATTGGGAGAATCCGAAAGAAAATTATAGGTAAAACGGCAAATATTTACAGGACGCCACAGCGCGACGTCATCGTTTTCATTTTTTTCATTGTGTTGTACTGCAGTTTTCTATCAGAAATATTACTTCAATCGAAAAATGACAAGAAAACGATTTTTTTCCTTGTAATATTTCATAATTAACAAATAAAGTCGTTTTATGAGATTTAAGTTTTTTTAAAAATAATTAGGAATAACCAAAAAAAACGAAATATACGATTTTTTTTTCAAATTACGCCGCTACGATTTCATTATTTTAAATTTTTACGGCTTATGTTTTCTACTATGAATATTGCTCTAATAGTTAAACGACAAGATATCTTTTTTATAGCATTTTCAATTTTGTTTATGAGTAAGGTATTCGTTTTTTAATTTTCTCTGTACTTTTATTAATAATTGAGCATAACCGAAAATAAACGTAGACATAACGGGACATTTTACGAAAATATGCTTTTATTATTTTCAATGTTATTTTTTTCGTTGTAATTCAAATTAAAATATTCGTAGAGACTTTTGACAAAGTCAATTTTGACAGAAAACTTATATTTGATTGTTCTAGTTGTGGTAAAACTTTCGAAATATTTGTTATTTTTTAGCTATTTGGAGACATTTTAATTTTGCTAGTTTTTTTATGTAATTTTAATTTGGTAGGTATTCTGTAGATAAATTGTTAGACCTTACAAAAAATTTGACAGGAAGTTCATTATATATAAGTCGTACTTAGTGGTCGAAAAAAAAATGTAATTCCTTATCCTAGTATCTACCTATACCTCCATTACCTACCTACAATATTGGCCACACCCATACCCAGGACCAGCGTTTTTAATTTAATTTAATTTCTTATTTTTTTCATAAACTTGTAACTTGTTAAGTGTCCTAAAAAAAATACAAATATTTTTTCGTTATGAAAAAATAAAATTTGAACTAATTCCTTCCGTCCCCTCCTTATTGAACTACCACTGGTATTATTTATTATAATATTTTTCTTATTATTTATACAAATAATTCGTTTTGCTAATACTTAAAACCAATGTGTTTTTTTTTCACTAGAAATATAAATAATATTAAATAATACTATAAATTGCCATTATAATATTATATTGGTTTGTTTATTGTTATGATCATTGATTCGTACCGTTTCAGTAACATATTATACTATTATCACGAAAAGTTATTAAAATACGCATTATTATGATAATAATGTTTATAATGTAATGTATTTGTAATGTTTTTAAATAAACTATGTTTTTAAATACTTAGTAATTAATAATGGATTTATAAAATACTATTACTATTATTTTAAGTAGAACCTTATTGTTAGTAAACTGTTCAGATATAATGAGAATTTCTTATTAAACTAATACACTTAATCTAGTCGTATAAAAATATGTACTTATATAATTTATACGCATGATTTATGCACGTGAACCAATGCACGTGAACCAATGCACCTATTATAGTAACTAGGTACCTACCGACATACGCATATGATCACTTATATATTTTAGACATTAAAAACAACAAATAATTAAATTGTATAATTAGTTAAACTTAATATAAAAATGCTCGTATATAATTTCATGATGTAATTCTTAGATAAACGTAGCAAAAAATGTATTGGTCTTCACACTCTGATCATATCCTTGGGTCCAGGGAAGAAGAACTTAGGTCAATTTTTAGCTGTTTTTTTTTTTTTTTTTGGTAATGTTATTTTAAGTAATTTGTTTCTTTACCTTATCATACTAGGGTTAGAGCATTTAAAAATGTAACCATTAAATTATTATTTTCTTATTATGTTATTTAGAAATTTTCAAAATTTAATTTGTCTGTGTTCAAAACTATATAAAACTGATTTAAGCCTTGGGACCAAAGATAAAATAAAATGTGCTTTTTATTTCGTTCTGTCTGCTAAAAGACTGTCTTTTTTATCTAGTGCAATAACTTTTGCACCAGAAATCTTGCTCCGATCATCAATTTCAGGAATAGTTTTTAGGTAGGAAAATGTTGTTTATATATATATTTAGTAAATCGTGGTAATTTTAGATTCTAAGTGGAGTGAACAAACTTATGGTTTTACAAAGATGTTTATTTTTTATCTCTGCGTAACTTTTCTACCAGAAATCTTACTCCGATTTCTAAGTGTAGCGCCTTTTCTGAATGGAAATCGAACTGGAAAGGTAATTTAAGGTGATCATTTTTTAATTTTCCCCAGGAGTTTCTCCAATAAATAGGAAAAACCCAGAAAAAGATTTGAAAACCGTAGGAAAAACGGGAAAATGGTACAATATTAAACATATATTTTTAAAGAAAGTATAATGCCTATTTAATTATTTTACCATAATATAACATATAAATATTGTTGACAAAGCAGCACTATCAACTAAACTCCACTCAGAATCATTTTTTCGTTAGCAATAGTTTATCGTTGCTTAGAGATATATATTAAATACCTTCCTAACTTCTTACCTACAACAGTGTCTGAACCCACGTGCTAAGTATGTTCGTTTTAATGTCCATCATTTCTAGATATGATACAAATCATTCTGTCGGTTTTTTTTTGAGAAATTTGAAATTTTCATATATATTTACTATTTAATTTTGATTTTGTTTTATATGGATAACATTTGTTTATCTTTTCAAAAATACTTGTAAATTTAAGACAAGGTTCATAATATAGTATTATAAAATTATCGAAAATACCTTTGTATAATTACAATTTTTTTTATAAACATTTAAAGTTTAAATTTTTATGTAAATTATAAAAATCATTTCATCATTGTCATTTGCATATAAAGTATTTCGATTTATGCGAACATTTTTTTTCCACCAAAAATACTCGAAAAAACAAGGATAATAATATTTATTTTATAATTTTACATTACTACCATATTCAATTTAGGCTTATTATAATATGTTTAAATGAACTCGATTAATAGGTACAGAACCTATACATCTTGCCTTTCAGATTCTCCATCTGCAACAGTGGTCCACCAACTTTTTTTTTATACAGTTATACACTTATTCCTTATACCTAACTAATATTTGAATCATTAAATATCTATTACAACTAATTTAATAAAAAAATTTAAAAATTTATAATTTATGATTCCGTGTAGTATATACCGCATATTTTGGTATATTTTATATTTTTGTATTTATTGATTTTAAATAAACCGTCGATATTTCGTTATCAAGGTTATCACTAAATTATTCGAGTTTAAAACATTAATTTTGATAAATAATATTATTACATGGTCAAAATAGTTAGATATTAATATTGTCATTATTGCGTGCAACACCTAATGTTGGGAAAATGTAATTTTTAACCCCCAAAAGATTTAATAAAATATACCTACATGTATTATTAACATAAAAGAAGATATAAATGGTATAATATAGATATAAATATAGGCACATTTAGGCTACTACTGTAAATTATAAATGTAAACGCATTACCTTGGAGCAGAGGTTTGAGTTAGACTTTGTTGTTGGGAATTCGGGATCGGCCACATTTGAGATACTGTCGAAGAATGTTGGTGAATATGGTGGTGATGTAAATGATGATGATGATGATAAAGGTGAGCGTCCGGCCAACATTCGTCGTAGCTTTGACTGTCCTGTAGACAAGCAGTATATAATATTATTATTTTGTGTACGGATTGTGTCTATAGATTAATAATAACGATTTATAATAATTTGTGTTTGTACCAAACATAAACACATTTAATATCGGTTTGTCACATTATATTATTCGTGTAAAAAAACCAGATTAATAAATACAATTTTAGAAAATTATCTTAAATAATCTTTACTTGCCGTGTTCGTTAAACTAGAATCCCAAGTGGGTGTGTGGCCCGCCGGTACGAATCCGTTGCTCATCATTGTGCAGTGCTTTAGAATCTGAGGGCAAGTACAACGTCGGTGAGTTTCCCGGGGGCGTCTTTTTTCTCTTTTGCAAAAGCGTCACATTGGTCCAGTGGATCGTCCAATGATATCGCAAGCAGGTGTTGGCCCGTTTCAACCCTCTTCTTCCCTGCAAATGTTATTATTTATACAATATATATATACATGTAGTCCTATATATTAAATTATAACGAAATTCATTACTTCAGTAAAGTTGTTGAATGTTATCAAAATATAAATATACATATATATGGAGGTAATTTTAAAATTATGTTTTTATAAAATATAATAATATAATATCACTGTTTTATTTGATTACAAATGTGTTTGTACCTACACTTTATTCTTATCATTTTTCTTACGTTATATGTGGTAAGCTGCACATCGTATTGTTTACTAATAAAATTTTTAGGTGAGGTTTTCACTGATAAAAAATAATAAATAAATGTATTAAAATGTCCAAAAAAATATTCCTTTATGAGGATTTCAATTTCAATTAATTAATTTACAAACCATTTGAATGAATTATGACGAAATTTATAAATACATATAATTCTGTACAAAATAAAACTATATTACTATAACATATATATATATATATATATATATATATATTACTATAACAATTTCTTTTATATTTAATTATTTGAAAAAAAATCATTAATTTTACAACTAATATATATTATACTATATTTTATTATGTAATATACATAACCATTTGAATTATATTGGGGTTTTAATATAATAAATACAACTGGAAGCCAATCGATGCAAAAAATGAACAATACTAATTTTTATTAACTATTACCTATTAATAAGAGAACAAGGACAATTGTATATTATTCATTTGTATATGAATATTTCCCTGCAGATAAATTTCAATCAAATTACACAATTAGATATAAAATAAATAAATAAATAAATAAATGATACACAAGTACTAGAAGATGCTAGAAGATTTTAAATTCTGAGCTGAATTTATTTAATGAAGAATATACTCGTTCTATGCGTATAATTTAGTTTAATATGATGTGCATTTTTCTATATGTTAATACTATTTATATTGGAAATAATAAAACAAACCTGACGAAAAAAACGGAAATATTTTAAATTACGAGTACATTGTTTTGTACAAAAGCTATATAGAACATAGAGGTCTGAAATTTCATATATAGGCGGACGAGGCAGATGATTGCATTTTTTTAACGGAAGCCACACTTGAACACTTTGTACTTTTCTTCATTTTTATAATCCCTGGATTTTTACGAAATAAAAGACGATTTTCAAGGTTTTTAAGGCAACCAGTTGACCGAGATCTAGTCAAAGTCGTTTTTTGTTTATCACGAATAAAAAACAATTATTCGCTGTTGTTTTTTCAATACACAAACTAAATAAATCTATATAATCTATCTTACTAACTTCTCACCTATAAACCATTGTGCGAATGGTAAACCAGAATTGTCCGGAAAAATAATCAGACAGACTGTAAAAATCCGGAAAGCATAAAAGCCTATACCTGAAAGTGTCGGACTATAATAATCCGGAATACAAAAATACGCATACTGTAATGTCCCGGACAAAAAATTTCCGGAATTTAACGAAAAAACACTGATAGATGGCAATACACAGTATTGCATACACCGTACAAACAGAATAAACGAATTAAAGTTAAAAGAAGGTTCATGATTTTATGGCTGTTTTCAGAGATGGATAGACATACTCAGACACGGTGTAACGATTATCAATATTAATAGTGTTTTTGAAATTCTGGATTATTCTTGTGCGTGACATTCCATAAATTTCTTGTCCGGGACATTACAGTGCATATTTTTGTATTCTAAATTTTCACAGTCCGGAATATTCTGGTCTGAGCATTTATTTTTCCGGCCGATTATAGGCCGGATATTGACAGTGTTTCGTATTCCGGATTTTTACAGTCTACCATTTTCTTGTCTGTGAAATTTACATTCCGTAATTTTACAGTCCGTACGATTATTTTCTGGGATTTTCTAGCAGTCCGTGCGAATTATGAGGAATTATGTCCAACTACCAATTTTTTTAAAAAAAAATTGCAGACATTTTCCGTTAAACTACATAATTGTCAGATTATGTAGGAAAATAACCATAGAAAAAAAGAAATACAAACAGGAAATACATATTTTATGAGGGTCGCTTATTTGTTTAAGTTTAAAAGCATAAATATTATATACGTGCTAATTAAACGTGCATTGTTCACTTGAGCAATACAATTTTTTTCTTTTAGATAATAGTGTACTAGTTTCTTTCACAGGTCGATTATAATAATAATAATTTTTATTATAGTCTAGAAATATGCAGTGTAATATTATAATGCCAATGTCTATGTACCGATAGATATGTTATTTATGTAAAAATTCAAGATTAAGATGGTATATAGATGATTTTTTTGTTTAATTTATGATGTATAGTTTATAATGTCGAGACTAAATAAATTACCGTATTGAGTACCGATTTATAAAATGTTAAGTGAATTTGTATTATATACAGACTACAGAGTGATGATCGATATAACATAAAACATTTTTTATCTCAGAAATAAGGATTTTTTTTCAGAGTTAATGTTTTAGAAAATTCAAGAAATAACCATCTCTAAAATGTTACAATACCGTTATTTTGTCTCATGGTTATTTTTTATGGTCTACCCACTTTTTATTTTCAATTAGTATCATCTTTCAAAAAAGTACAAAAAAGTGTCTTAATTGATCTTGATCACTCTAACAATTGTACTTTTATAGAATTTAACAAAAGTTACCTGTAGTGACTACAATAAAGAAAAAACTGTCCTAAATTAATGGGGACGGGTGCAGCCACTGTTATAGGTGGGAAGTTGTGAAGGTCGGATACAGAAGGGAATTTAATGTAGCGGAGTTCAGTTGATAGTGATGCTTTGTCAACAATATCATATTATGTAAAATAATTAAATAGGAATTATATATTTTCTTCAATTATATTTGTTTAATATTGTACCAATTTTCCCAGTTTTTCACATTTGCTGGGAAAACTCTAAGGACAATCGAAAAATTACCTCTTAAAAATAAACATGTTTTTAAAACCATAAGTTTCTTCACTCCACGCAGAATCTACAATTTCCATTCTGACGTACATTTAGTACAGTTTGACGGAAAATTGAATTCTACAAAGTTAAAACTTTAGTCATTTAGGTACATTAATACATTAAATCGTGTAATAGTATTATATTCTAGACTGATTTTTCAATAAAAAATAAAATGTATATATACAATAATATATTATCGGGTTTTTTTTTTTATACTTATAAATAATATATATATTATATATGTATAATATATTAAGCGATGGAAAATTATTTAATTTGTTACAGCATCAGTCGCGTGTCGAAACGTTTGTCAAATTTAATAAATATTTCGCTAAATGATGAGTGTACGCGCGCTTAGCCTCCCTACATATTTTGATTTGTTCAATAACACCATCGCCCTCCGTTTAACCGCGTGTTATGATACGATTAGCATTACACCCCTAGTTGATTCCTGGCTTTCTGCTGTAGCATCTGCCGTATCCGTTCCGTATGTAATATTGTTTCTGTCAAGTGTATTACAGTATAGATCCCTCTCCCATATGATATTGTTTTTCGCGCAATAATATATACACACGTGTTTTATACATAAAAATGAGTAAAATCTAATAACGATGTATAATACGCTTACGTATATATTATATAAGTCTCGAATAATGTTTCAAATAATGTGGAAATATTATGCGTAATATCTGTGTAATTTATCTAACTACTCTTATATAGATATTATTGTATATAATGATGCATTGAAAGGTATACGGGAGTATACGGCGTGTACCCAAATCGCATTTGTCAATCGTAGCGTATACCTTTTTGAAAAATAGATCACACGCCCATATATAAGCGTATACTGATAAACGATAACTGAAATATTAATAATAATATAATATGTTCGGCATTGTTGTGCCCGTCGCCGAAAACACGTTTTTAAAAATAAAAATTGTTTTCATATAACAAATTTAATACATATGCAATTATTTTTGGTAGTAAACATATCTTTTACCTTTATTATCTATGCAAATTGTATTGCATAATCTATGAAAATTTGTGTTGTATTATATATTATATTGTTGTCAAAGAAACACTATCAACCGAATTCCGCACAGAATCGTTTTATTTGTTAACAGTGGTTAATTGTTGTTTACAGATATACGAGTACATTAAATTACCTATAACAATGGCTGCGCCCATCCCCATGATCCTAGAATAGCTCTTTATATTTTTTGTGTGTTTATTTATAACCTATGTTTAATAATAACCTATTATTAATAATAATCTATGTTTAAATATTTTGTTGTGAGTTTTCTACTAACCTGTGATCCTTGCAACAACGATAATTATTTTCATATATCCGAAGAGCTTCATTTGAACCTATTACCATCTATACCTTTAATATTAACTTTACCGTGATTCTCAACATGATTATTACAAGGCATAATTTCCCAAGATAAATCTTGCCACCGGTACAATATCCTAGGCGTATTATACTTAGAGGTAAATATGATTTTCCTTTAAATATTTTACCCCTGGTAGAATATTCTTAGTACTGCATTAAACTTGCACAAGTTGCTAGTTCTTGGTGAGTACTGAGTGGGTATACTATAAAAGTTACTGCTTGTGCTCTCAAAATTCATCTGTGCGCCACTGAGTGTACCTATACCTATATATTCTCAAAATTACTATAAACCTCGTATAAGTGTATTAGTTTATGTATTTACAACATTTAATTTGATTGTATTGATCGTTTCCACCACATCCCTCCCCCCCCACAGATTCACTTTTCCGAAAAAACATTTTTATTTTTTCTAAATAAAAATTAAAGAAATTTTAACTTAAAAAATGGGTAGTAATATATAAATAATAGATACTAAAAAAGGTCAAGGGGGAGATATATCTCCCTAATGCTGCTCACAGCTAAATTTTTTTGTATACATAATATAAATTATTTTTGTTACACAAAAGTATTATAAATAATTCAAGAAAACCGTGCAATATTTTATACACAAAGAATATGTTAGCCCTCTAGTTATTCACCATAACTAAATGAGTTCTAACAGTAACAACAGCAGCTCACGCTTCAAAGTTATTAATCCCCTCTAACGCACTAGCTATTGTTATACTGTATCGCCTGTATTAATTTCATTAAAATAATGCAATGCACCGTGATATTAAATGCGAATTTAGTTGAGCGTGACGATATTGTTATTGTTGATATATACCCACCCACGCAAAATTATTAAAAATTACTACTGTGACTGTGATCAAATCTCTATATTAGTCTACGTCGATATAATATTTTAATATGAATCATTATTGTTTATTTATTAGAATATATACTTAAAAACAAATTTCAAATTCATGAGTAAAATATTAATCACAATTTTATAAAATTGACACAATTTAACTTTATATCACAAAAATAATAGTTGCGGTACCTACTTATACTTACAAATTATATGTAACTAATACTCCATCTATTTATGGAATTTTTAATAAAGGTTTCCATTTGAAAATTAAAAGTAGGTAGAAGTTTTACCCCCAAAAATAAGGATGACAAAAAAAAAAAAATATAAAACAAAAAAATTTTAGAGCTGCTTATTTCTTAAATGTTCTAGAAAACAATCCGAAAAAAATCAATACTTTCCGAGATAACGAGTTTACCCACTTAAATGGATCATCCAGTATGTAAGTATAAAGATATTATATTTTAATTCATTATTGTTCCATACCTAGTGGCTTTAAACTGATTTCGGATTTTAAAAGTTATGTTAATAAATATAAAAGGTGTAATTCGTGTTATTAATCACTTTAATAATTTTTTCTTTACTTTATTATTTTCTAAATTATTATCGTTTTATTAAAATTACGATTCATTAAAAAAATTGATAAATGTATGAACAACGTTTGTTACACGTTTTATTTATAATTATGAGTCAACATAATCATTGGAATTATTTAACTCTATTGTACAACAAATTATTTAATTACCTACTCACATAGAAAAGTGTAGTCGTTTTAACACACCAACGTGTTAACGTAATACACATTTGCATGTCATTAGATTAGGTTATAGGTATAATAAATAATAAATCGTTTAACTCTTTAATTCTTAATCTTTTTTTAAAATAAATTATATTGTGTACCTATTATACACATAAATCCGAATACCTACGGTTTTTTTACAATATTTTTATTACATAATTGTATGTTTTTAATATAAAGTTATACATTTTAGCTATAAAATTACTTACTTACAAACCTACAATTTCTATACAATTATTAATTCGTAATAGTATTTTTAACTAAATTTCTATATTAGATTAGATTCTGAGTGTATCAAAAAACCAAATTAGAATATAGGTTAGTTCGTAAAAATGCTCCAAATTTGCATGCTGATGATGAGATATTTTTCACCAGTGATATTTTATTTAAAATTTTTTTCTAGCTTTCCCATACTTTTTTCATAAATATCAAAAAAAAAAAAAAACTGATTACAAAAGACAAAATTAGTTTATTTATTTACTTTTATTATAACTTATAACTTATATTGTAATTTTTTTTTGTAAGAATATTTCATATATTTTTACTGCATATAAATACATCATACTTCGATTGTTTTAAAAGAATGTTAATCATGACTTTATAAGCAACTATAGACGTCTAGACTTCGATTACTGAGGTCTTTAACCCAAAAAGAGAGGTTTTATTTTTGTTGTTTTTTATTATTTTTTTTTATGTGTTTATAACCTTATCAATATAACCAAGTTCTGTTTAAAATTGTTTTTCGATTTCAATTATTCATCGTCATTTTTAGTGTAAAAACTAAATTTTACACTATATCCTATACCTTTCAAACTTCCCACTTACAGTAGTGGCCATGGTGCGAAATAGGTATGCCCGGATTTTTATATTGACTTTCAAATAAATATTTTATATTTTAGTTACCTTGGTCATTACAAAACCTATCTATAATAAGGCCAACAGTCTTGTAGGTTGCTATAAGACCATTATAATAGTAATAACCTATAGCTATATATTATAGTTATTGTTAATATTATTTTATGATCTCGTATTAACGTATGTAAAATTTGTTATATTTGTTGTGTTTGTTATATTTCTGTCAATGTTAAAATACCTACATTATAATTACCTATTTACATTTACCTATTATGCCATCATTTTCCATTCTAACGAACAAATTCAGTAACAACTTGACAATATATGGCAACTCGCATAATATACTATATAATATGTTTTAGTCATTTAAATACAATCCAAGGACGTAAAAAAATTCTGTAAAATTTGATTATATTAATTAAAAGTATTACATAAATGGATAGATATCCATTTATACCAACACCTATATTTTAAACCTTGTCAGCTGGAGAGATAACAAATTATTTCAATACAAATAACATCATTATTTAATATATGTATTTGAAGCCAGAAAGATAGAAAGTTTTAAATAATGATATTATGTATTTTTCCTCTATCTCGGAAAATATTTATTGGAGCAGAAAAAATGATCAAAGATTTCAATAACCTGTGTACTTTATAGATTGAAAGAAAAAGCATTAAAATATCATTTTACACTATTATTACTTGTTATAACATATTAAAATTGCATTAATTATTATCAATTGTGATTTACTTGAACTCCAACAAAATAATATGCAAAAATTTAAAATACTAGTACTACATAATCGATAAAATAACAATATTGGCTATATTTTAGATAAACATTAACAATTGTAAATAGCAATAGAAAAATTAAATTAATAAATATCGATGTTCAAATTATATACCTATCTAGAGTAAATTTTATGAATAAAAGGTACTTATAAACATTTTAAACTACATTCAATAAATCTTTTGTTTCAGGGAAAAAGAGCTTTAGTCATTTTTTGGTATTTTTTTTAAACTGTAGTTAACGATTTTTAATTCCTTTTATTTTTTTTTGATCTTAATCGTGTATATTATATTCTAACACATGTTATACCAAAAATTAAAATATCTTAAGTATATTTTGTTTGGCAAAAAAGGCAAAGGCCATAAACTCATAATATAATAAGTTATATAATTATATGTCTCTATAGCCATTTAGAACATCTGCATTTACTTTCAGCCGTTTAGTAATTTAGCCTCTTATCAATTATGTCATTATGTCATTTAACAATTTTAGATTCTGAATGGAGTAAGGAATTTTTTTCAGTTATGTCTATTTAATTTTATTATTTTTTTATTATGTGGACAACTTTTCTACCAGCAATTTTGCTCCTATTCGCAATGATAGCACTTTTTCTGAAAGGAAATCGGACGGAAGAGGTACTTCAGGTAGATCATTTTTTGAATAACTGAGAAAAAACAAAGGAAAAACGACAAAATAAGTACAATATTAAAAAACTGTCCTTGGATAATGGGGACGGGTGCAGCCACTGTTATAGGTGAGAAGTTGGGATTGTAGTAAAGGGGAAATTAAACATACATCTATAAGCAGCGATAAACCATTGCTAACGAAAAAAATTATTTTGAGCAGAGATCATTAGTGTTGCTTTGTCAACAATATATATGTCATATTATGGTTAAATAATTACATACACATATATATATATATATTTTTTAATAATATTTGTTTAATATTGTACCTATTTTCCCTATACGTTGTTCCCTGTTTTTCCATATTTTTCTCAGTTTTTCCCATTTATTTCAAATTTAATTTAATTGTATTAAAAACTATGCAAAATTGACTTAAAGCTTTCTTGGGACCAAATAACTATTAGGTTTAGGTAAAATAAAATATCAATTAGTGAAGTATTATTTTATTACCTAGTATTAATTATTGACAAAAGTGGGCAAGTTAATGAAAATTATTAAAAGATTAAATTAAGTTAAATAAACAAAGAAGCATCTAGTTTAAACTTAACGTAAAATAAATTAAACTTGTTAAGTTAAAAGTTAAATGCAACTTAAATTCCGTTTAAAAAAAGTTAATTTTTTTCGTACAAAATTCAACAATTAGTATTTAATATTAATTAAGTTTTATATATTTATATTTTTTACATTTAAGTAGGTATAGAAAAATAAACAAAACAAAACTATTTTAGAAAAAAATGTAATGCTACATAAGTCGCAAAACTGAGAACAGCTAATTAAAATTAAAATTTGAATTTTGAGAAAAAATCATTCTTCTTCAATTATTTTTAACTTAATTACAGGATGTTCATACAAATTTAATGTATACAGTTAAGTTTATACAAAGTAAACTTAAAATATTTAAGTGAAAAGTTAATTTTTTAACTAATTAATGTTCACCTTTGATTATTGGTTATCATAGACTCTAAAACTTGGTTTATAGACATATCACATGATTAACGTCATTAGAAAATACATATAGCCAAATTAATTTATCACAAAATGAAAAAGTAAATTATATAACTATATATAATTATAAAACGTAATTAATACATTTTATGTCCATAATATCGACACATATATGTAATAATACATCGTGATTTCTAATAGGACTGATTTTTTTCTGTTTATATTTCAATAATAAAATTGGCACAATAATATCCAAATTTAGAGTATTATAGTGTGACGTAAGAGATGGTTAAACCTTAATAACTAAGGACCCATGTTTCAGATAGGAACAAAAGAGAATTGCATAATGCTAATTTCATACTATTTCAAACAAACTATGTGCATATCATATAATATGAATTATCATTATATTTGTTACTAATTTTCATTTTCAAAAGTGGGTGGTTATAGCATATAATTTTCGAGAATAAAAATCAGAAGAATTTAATGAATGACACACTAATTTATAGGTATATGATCTATACCTAACTATTTATCAATGAATACTGTTTAAAATTGTACGTAATATATTATCAAAATACATTTTCATATAGTATAAATACGATTTAGTGATTATAAATTAAACTGTTTCAACACGTGATAGGTAACTAATAAATATTCGATTTTTGCGTTTTCGTACACATTGGACTGGGCTCGTGCATACTTAATATTTACTTTAGAACTGCGTTGTAATAATCAATAATAGATGGAGGAGGTATTATATTGCGTTATTGTTCATCACGTGCAAATTATTTTACATGATATGATAACACACACACGTCAATAACATTTTATTAGATGCGTATTACATATTGTAGGTACCTATATACAACCCTTACTTATACTTGGAATAATCGATTAAAAATAGTTTACTATACGAATGGCAAGATGGAAATAAACTTTGGGCTGATTTTCTGCGACCCGCAAGAAAATTCACGTTTTTACGTGCCCCATGTTCAATATAATTTATATCGGACGTGGGTACAGACGTGTTTTTAGCGAACGTTTTTCGAGAAATTACTTTTACATTAATAATTAGTATGTGGGGAATTAAAAATCTCTTTCTTTGCTTCTTTCGGTATATTCTTCACACGATATATTATTAATTGATGTGATGTTAATTGGTTTTATTAAAAATAATGTTTTAAACTTTGAGAAACATCACGTTTAATTTCTATAATTTATCAAGTCAAATAAATATACACAACAACTATTATATTATTGACAGTTTAGATTATTATACCGTTTCGACCGATGGGTTAGTGATTTGTACGTTCTGACTACATCTAATCTAGTCAAATAATAAATTAAAGTATTTACCAATTTGGATGATTAATGCACTATGGGTAATCGATATACTTATAAGGGGATTGGAAGCGACGAGTTTTTGTCTTTGTCTTACACACCTGAGATATGGGAATTTAAACGTGTTTTAATTCCAGCGTACAGATTGATCTAGAGAAGCGATAAGAATTCTGGAAACAGATTTGAATTTTTCGAGAAGTCTACTTGAGATCGAATTTCTTTTCTTTTAAATTTATCTCCATAAATTCTAAAAAAAAGTCACACTAATAAAAGAATAATTGAAAAAATTAAATATTTTAATTTTTCGAAAAATTAAAATCAAAAATAAAAAAAGGTTGGAAAGTCGATCTCAAGTAGACTTCACGAAAAAGTTCAGATCTGCTTTCAGAATTTCTATAGCTTCACTATAGATCAATCGATACGTAGGAAATAAAACATGTCTAAGTCCCTATATCTCACGTGTGTAAGACAAAGACAGAAACTCGTCGCTTAAGAATATAAAATACAATTTTTATGTAAGAAAAAACGAGAGAATTTTTTGAGATAATTGAAATAAACCAATTTGTATTTTTTAGTGTCTTGTGAAATTGTATATATTATATGTATTGTATTATTATATGTATTAAAATTGTGTATAAAAAAAACATGATGTACTTATAATTAAATACCTAAACTGGTAGGAAGCTTATATTTGTGAAATAGTGGTACCAAATATTGAAATAATTATTAAAAATGTAATATATCACACCTAACCCCATATGTAAGCATAGGTGCAATTAGGGGGTTTCTAAAGGGTTTTAACACCTCCAAAAATACCCAATCACCCAAGTCTATTATTCGTAAGTGTCTATCAGTACCGTAGTAGTAGTGAACTAAATCACTGTAATAACTAATTAAAATTATTTATAACGCAATAGTGTATTATATGTTGAGACACATCATTACTATACAACATTATTGTAGTAACTTATTTTCCTCAATACTTCCTTGGAATATTTTGAATTTTCTTGTTTGACTTATTTAATTTTGTAAACACAAGACAATACGGTAATGCGTCATAAATACATACATTTTTACGACGGAAAGAGTGATGTAATTCAAAATTCATGCATAAGGACTTCGGTAAACTATACAGATATAGACTTTAGCCTATAATGATTATATTTTTATTTATTTAATTATAAGTTATAACTTTATGAGGTACCTGCGACGATATTTATTTCTAAAGTGCACGAGTAACAAGATGACTCACCTGCAGTCACCTAATGATGTCTATTTATCTTACAATAAATTAAGACAATATGGGATATCTTGTGTTTTAGGCGTTTTAGCTATAAATGGCTAGAGATTTATTTTAAAGTTATTTCTAGTATATAGGTTTTAATTGGAAGAACCAATAAATAAAGGTGTTAACTAACATTTTTAAAATTGTTCAGGGAGATGATTTGAAACGAAAACATTACTAAAACTCATTAAAACCTATATCCACGAAAAAAAGAACGACAAATATTAATCGGTGTTAACGATATATGTGTATCGTATACTTTAGTATACTACACTATAAATCTAATTTTAATCAGTGGACACATACTATAACATCTTTATCCCCTAAACAAAAACTACAAAAATCATGTATCTACTACCTAACATCTTCATCAGTTGATAATGATAAATAAACACAATATATAAACGTAAGAGTATGGTTCTCTTTTTTTGTTCCGAGATTTTGTATACCTACGCCTGCTGTAATACGTAAAAACAAGTCGGCGTCTGAATTAATACCAATTTAAAAAAAAAAAACGTCAGTTGACATCTTTATCCGTTATTCCATTTTAATTATTATAATGGAATTGGATTGGGTGGATAATAGACTAGCCCGTATTTAATACGTACACCGAGGGGAATATTTCCCCCCTTCATTTTTCTTAAATATTCAGTTGTAGTAATGTAGTAAAGTAATGTATATATTGTATCTCATATATATCATGTAAACAATAATAGTTTTTGAAAAATATCCCTATCCTCCCCCACGACAAAATCGTTTCACCGCCATTGTAGGTGTTTAGTTAACAAAATACATTATTGTATTTTGGCGTTTTCGAATCGATTGCTGCAACTACAAGTAAAAAGTGCGTCGGTGTCACGTTATATTTATGTTAGACGGGGTCGACTGGAGTGTTCAATAATATTGCGAATTTTGTATTTAATTTTTCCCGTCCGCCTTTAGTTAATAATCAGTGTTGCGAATATTGCGAACTTTATATTTAATTTTTTCCGTCCGCCTGTAGTTAATAATCAGTGTTGCGAGTATTGCAAGTAGGCATGACCAGAGCCGGTGGCCCGGCGCCAACAAAATTTGACGGAGTGTGATAAAAAAATTTGCCGTCTCCAAATATCAAGTTTACCGACTTCAAAAAAATGATTTTTTCCCATTATTTTTTCATTCGATAACTGGGTGATACCAACCGACCTAGAATATACCTACATTTGACGATAATAATACAACGGTAATTATACAACACGCAATAAAATACCGGAAAAAAAATTAAGGAACGATTAGGTTTGCCGACTTTAAAGCGAAACTGTCGTTGAATTGCCGCATAGGCTGTTTAGATTTTCAAGTTCGGGGGCGGGAGGGGATTGTCATTCTCCCTACCCATATCCGGTAACTATATCTTGTCGTAGCGGGGAAAAAAAAAAAAAAAAAAAACGTGTCTACTCATAATAACATTGTGTCATAATACGATTTGTGATGATGACCTATATTTTTATCGTTGTAAAAAACGGCATGACGTAAGCGCGGTAAAATAATAATTTATTAAACTCGAATTTTTTCAAGGGTCACGAACCCTTGTCTCGGGGGAGGGAGGGATGGCCACACTGTTTGAAATACAAGGGTACCCGAACGCCATTTTTCGCAACGTTACGGGTACCCATGTCGCTTATCAATTCGGCACAGTAGGTACGGGGAATCGGGGAAATGCTACAAACCGCGAGCACTACCGGAATTCGGGACACGGCGTACACACACCTACGCCGTCACTCGAGGAGTCGTCAAAGGCGTGCGAGTGAGTGTTTCGGACGCGTCGCCGTCGAGCGTGTGCGCGATAACGTTTTCGAGACGTTCGATAGTCCCCGCGCGTGTTGTTCTCGAGCGGCGTTTGTTTGTCTATCAATTTCCGTGCGTATGGGTGAACTTCGCCGTTTGTCACGTGAATAACCACCACCGCGATGGTATCTCCAGATAAACGGGTCGCAATCGTTATATTACAGTATAATTGTTACTGTTGGACTTTATCGCGTTTTAAGTGCGTGTTCGACTGGCAATAATAACAACAATACTCGACCGTAATGATAATAATAATAATCGTATAATTTTTTTTTTTTTTTCCCCGCCCGAGTGTATCGCGGAAAATAATTACCGCCGTCGGTGCGTTGATACCGAAGTGCGCAATTGCCAATTAATCGTTTTTCTACTACGACGCGTTCGTAAATCGTAACTTTTTTTTTTTTGGTCCGCCGCGCCGTTATTTAATAATTCACCGTTCGAGTGGGGAAAACGCAACCGGTCCGGGCCGAATCGTTTGTCCCCCCTCCCCTTCCCTGACTCGTCGCGGGCGCGCTCGTGTTACCGTATATATATTTCTGCTCGTTCCGTACGAGCCACCAGTGTCCGTTGGCAGTATCGACTTGTACACGTCCACGAGTGCAGAGGTATTCTTCCAGTTTTGTGTTTTCATTGTATGGGTAAGTCTGTCTACGATACGTGCAAATATCATAATTATTATCTTTGCACCATGTAGATTGGTGTGTAAACGCCGTCCGTTCGTTGGTGATGACGACACCAGTTCCCCGTCGATATTCGGTTAATTGTCCGTGCAGTGAAATGCTGTTGTCGTTTTCGTCACGTAGTTTCGTGCGTGGACAACGTCCCGCAATTTTCTCTGCGTTTAATTTGTATTACAAGCGCTTATTGCGTACTCCGCATCGTAACACTTGCACATCCATTGTTGTTCCAAATTGGTACAAATTAAATTTCTATTGTGCATCTATTCGGTACGGTCTAATTGGTATAGTTGCCCACCTATTCGACTTAATTATGAACCAGTTTTGTACGGCACCTTTTATATTCCCACTGACAATTGTGTCACGGTCCGCTCACCAGGGAATGGAAAAGTAAATTATAAATACCTTAGTTGGCCTAGTATTATTTATAGATAATATTGTGCGGTTGCAGTTGAAATATCGTATTTTTAATCGTATTAATGATGTGTAGGCCATTCATTAATCATAATTTTTAATATATTTCCATCGCTGAGAATTGTTCTGCATTTCTACAATGTATTTTATCATCGTTTATATCATTATTACTCGTATGTCGTGAGTTCAGTATACACGCATCAGTAATATTATGTAACCAAGATATATAACAATTACGAGTATTTATCCATATAGATCAGTCTTAATATAGGAATCTGATTTTTCTTAAATCAATTTTGTAAATTTATGTGTACTGACCTAATAAATTGTTTATTCATATAAATTTATATAAATTGATATACCTATTCAATGGAGATTCATTCACTCATCGGAGTTTAATATTTATTTTTTTTTTTTATATATATAGGTGCTCAGTCATAATTATAAATTTTCCGATAACCAATGTTAAATATATTACAATAGATACTAGGCAATTGTTATGAAAAAAATGAATATTTTTTAAAACTTAATTTCAATTACATTATACCTAGGTAAAATATACAACAAGTGTATAAATGTGAATTTAACCATTTTATAATTTCATATGTAATTTTCTTTTTAGAAAATTACTCTTTAAATAATGTTAATTAGATTTAAAAAACAATGTTTATGAATAATTTGTTTTCATTTGTTTAAATAACACACAAAAATTAAAATTAATTTCATCAAATTTATTTTTAATTGTATAGTTAATCAGATTAGGACTATTTGTTTTAATATTTATTTTTTATTTATTTAAAGAGCGTGAGAAAAAATCTTTAGAAGTAGAAGGGCCTGTTGGAGCTGCTGCAGACAGCTGCTACAGGGATGAATCCAGCTACATACCAACCGTTGGCAGATGGGGAAATGAATGGCCGAGTTGACTCGAAATCCTACCCACTCCCAACAACCACAACAATAATGACTACGCGTTTTGGCTGAGTTATGGCCAGAAATCAGACTGGCCAATTGGTCAGCCAGTGCCCTTGCCGAAATGGGGTAGCTCAAGGCCATCCCTTTTGGTTGGCTCAATTGGGGAATTTGATGAGCTGACCAAACAATTTGAAAATGAAGTACAGACTCTACTTCAAATACACAATTATGATTCAGTTACAAATTTCATCAAGTAAAATATATAAAATCAAATACAATTCATAAATTATCTAATAAATTATTTTTTAGATTTTATAATGAATTCAAAATTGGAAAATGTGAAACACTGGAGAGCTTCTTTAGGGAATATGAACCACCATTGACTAAAAATGCAAATACTTGTGTTGGCCTTGGTTTATTGTTAATTGGAAAATTAGCTTTGTTAAATGATAGATTCCCTGGCATTGAGAACAGCCTTTATCTGGTTTCTTGTGAGGAATCTATAGAAGTAAGTTTTGTGTTATAAATTCAACATGATTTTTTTCTAAAAACAATTTAAATAATTTTTAGAGTCATGAAGAATACATGAGTAATGGTTATCCAGACCCATGGGTAAGCGACAAAGAACATGTTATGGTCGCTATGCAAATTGAAATCGAAGGGCGTAAAGGTGTGGTATTATTAGATCCTGGCTACCAAATCGGTAGAGTTATAACAGTAATGATCGATCAGCAGTATCCTCATACTGGTAAACAATATTTTTGAAATTGCATTCTTATTCATTTTTTAAATAAAATTTATAATAATCAATATTATCTAGGTCGTTTTGTACCATCATCTTGTCCGAAAAAGGAATATTGTTATCAAACCATGGTCGGCGAGAAATATGTACAATGGTCTGTATGGAATGGATCTTCCAAACCAGAAACCAACTTAGTGTACATAGGTGCATCATATCATTCACCAGTGTGTGTAACTGAACGTCGAAATTTAGTTTATAACTTTAGAAGCTTACTGGCCACTGATAGGAAAGGACATTTATTGGCTGGTGTCTATTTTAAAGCGGCATTTCAATCAACATTCACATTGTTTTGTGATGATGATCAAGATCCAACAATTAAACACCGAATTAAAGTTCCATCTGCCCAATTCATTACAAAAAATGTAAAAACATAACTACTATTTAATAAATATTAAATTATCATTTTTTTTTATATGTATTTTAACTATTATTTTATTTGTTTGTAGAAAATAGATATTGATATTGATGTCGACAAAGTATTAGATATATGCAGCAAACATCTCAAGATGACAAAGATCCAATTTTATACTATACTATCAGTACTTGCAGAAATATTAGAAGACAAAGAATTTCTTGAACAAATGTGCAAAATTAACGACGATATTTATAAACTCGGAGTTGATGAAAATAATAACAATGAAGGTGTTAACAATTACAACTTATCTGGATAGTTAAATTATTATTTTGGTTTTGTTTTTTTTTTGTTAGTGTATTTTACTCATAATTATTTTCTAAAATTATTAGCCATTAAAAAGTTTTTAATTGTAATCCTTTTTTTTAATAAATAGTTTATGGACAATTTTTATTTTTTAGACATATATTTATAATTATTTTGTTATGCACAAACAAGGAAATAAAGGAAATAATTTTGATGTGAAATGAATCATTTTATGTAAAACAAATTATTATTTGAATAATTAAGTATTATTATATTCAAAAATAACTAAAAACTATGAAATACCAGCAGAAGAAAAGTGAATTCATTATTTATATATATTAAATAGGATTGGAAAAAAATATAATAAATGGATAAAAATCCTTTCCTTCCTTAAACACTAGAACGCTTAACGATTATAGTATACATAATAAAAGAAAACGAGCGTCAGTAAAGTACCAGAACCACTACTCGTACACTAATTAATGTAGTTGAAATATCAACACAGCAAAATTATAAAAAACACGCGAGTCAATACATATAAATAAATGATTACTTTCATTAATGCTACGTTTTAATTTTTAAAAAAAATAAGAAAAAGTGATCTGTACGTTTCAAGTATAATTAATTATACATTGTTACGCATTAGCTATTTAATGTCATACTTTCCTTAATACAACATAATTAAGTTAAAAATTGTGCATTTAATGAATGCATATTATAAATGGGAGAATATTAATGTTTAAGCATCGTTTACAGGATTTTGTTGTATCTTTTTGGGTGTGCGTTGCTTGGTTGCACGTTTCCTTCCTTGCTCAGGCTGAGCACCTTCAATAGCCAAAGCCTCGCTGAAAAAAAGAAATATACAAATATGAATCATTTATAAGAATTAAAAAATTTAACAAAATAAGTAATATTCATAATTTTAGGCAACAATATATAATTACTAACAAAAACTACAACTGGATAATTATTTAAAAAAAAAAAAAAAAACTAAATTGATTATTATTTGTAGATATTGATTAAAAATAAGTGCATAGCCAAGTATACATAAGTATCTAGTAATAAACAACTAAAATATAAATATGTAAGTATTTTATTTAATATGCTACCCACTTGTTTAACAAATGTTTTTTATTAAAAATAAAAAATAAAAATAGTTTTAAATATGTCAATAAATCAAAATACTTATATGATTTTGATCCAAATCATTGAATAATGAATAAACTGATAGTTTTATAACTTTACAGACTGTTAATTTAAATAATTTTCTTGTGGATGGAAAAAATGAAAATTTAGTTTTGTAAAATTTGACCATACTAATAATTGTGAGCCGCAATAATTATGACGATCTTAATATTTATTTTCTATTAATTTAAAATTTAATCTTTTAAGTTTATTGAAAAAATTCAAAACAACCATAAATTCATGACAAGTTACTAGTTTTAGATATTAGTTTGAATTTCAAAGTCTTAAGACCATAATTATGAAAGTTTTCTATTCTATGACAATTATACGCTATCTATGTTTTTATAAAAATTGATATCCCCCAAACAATTAATTGTAGATGAATAGAATATTAACCATAATATTTTTAACCATGGTTTATCAAATTATAAAACTACACTATATGCAATTAAAATTAAAATATAAATCACCTCCACCCTATACTACATTTAAATGTAAAAATGAAAACTATTTTGTTATATTCAACATTTAAAAGCATAATTTTTTTGTAAAATATTTAACTGAAAATTAGATTATACAAACAAAAATTATATAAAACCAGCAGGTTGATATAATAAAATTGATTCAAAAAATATTAAACAAGACAAACATTGATAGATGAAATAAATAGAGCATGTCAAATACAACTGTAGGTAATTTTTTTTTTTTTTATGTGAACTAGCTTAACAAAATATATGATATAATTATATATATACTTGAAAGAATAAAAAAGAAATATGCAAAAAATCATAGGATTGTATAATAAGTAGTATTTCTATTAGGGAAAATTTGATTAACATTTGTATACAGTGTATACATTGAGGATAAGAGATGTTGTCTACCAAACATTTTTAAATTGATACTATTAATTATTGGTTAAAAATTAAAAATAAACAAATATACTTTGCACGAGAGGTGGACACTGTTGTAGGTGAGAAGTTGAAAGGTAGGAAATGGAAGTTAGTTTCATTTATAGCTGTATGCAATGATAAACCATTGCTAACAAAATACGATTTGGAGTGAAGATTGGTTACATGTTTTGAAAGTCCATACAATTTTCAAATTTGATATTAAAATTCTTATAAAATAAAATACAACAAAGCTACTTTTTTTTTTTTTTTTACCACGAAATATGATTTATAATGTAGCTCTTGTTAAATTTGTATGAATTTCTTTTAAGTCTAAACATTTCAATCCATATAGTACCTACCGAATTAAAATTACTTAACACTGGCAGTATATAAATGTCTATAAATAGCTCAATAATGGCACAGATGTTTTGAAAATTTTACCATTTTTAAGAAAAATGTGAGTTTTTACTTTCCAAATTTCAAGTCTATAATACTTTTAACAGGATTCCAACAAAAAGCAAAATTGAAAACTATAAAAGCATTACTTTCATACATTTTCTAGTTTTTTACAATAATTATAAAAATTATTTGGAAAACCAAAAAATGATCTCCCTAAAGTACTAAGTAAATAAAAATTTCGTTTCAGAAAAGATGCTACAATTGATACAACAGAACACGATTTTTAGTAGGAAAGTTGTTCAATACTCTATATACATACAAAGTGTACTGGATTATTTGACACCTTGTATATATATATAAAAATTAAACATTTTCAACCTAATACATTCCTCACTAATGTCTCAATCTAAAAGTTATACAGTCTCGCAAAAAAATATGATTAGTGAGACATCTTGAAAAGAATAAACTTGTATGTAATTTTTTTTTTTTACAATTTAAGAAACAAGCAACTCTTAAATGTTACATTATCATTATATTTTATAGGAGTGAACCTACTACCCGCTTTTCATTTTCAGGTTAAACATTTTTTTTTTTTTTTGTTTCTACAGTCAAATTGTCTAAGAGAAATCTTGCAAGGAAGTATATGACAAAAATATGGTTTTTTGTTTTGTTTTTTTTTGATGATATTCAGTTAAAAATATAGTAATCTTGAATAATATATAAATAAGTAAATAATATAACAATTTAAAAATTGTAAATCTCAATAATAAAATATAAATTAAATAAATATTATTCACATGAATTAAAATAACTGGAGGTGTCAAATAGCAACACAAATTAAAAAAAAAAAAAAAAACACAAGATAAAATTAAATTTATACGAACAATTTCAGAAAAACTTAAAAATAATTTTCTTACAAATTGTCAAAATAATAAAAATTATTAAACATACCGGTTATGTGATGTTGAAGAAGGTAAAGCCTTGAGGTGTTTTTTATTAGATATTGGAGAACTTTGAACTCTAATAAAACATGAAAATAATAAAACAAAAATAATAAAACAAAAATAAAAACAAAAGTAATCAAAAAAAATGTGTACTAATATTACATTAAGTTAAGTGTTTACATAATAATCTACATATATTAAAGAAAAACTATTTCAAAAAGCAAAATTACTATTGAATAATACAACATGATTGAAAGGTAAAATAAAATAATACAATTTTAGGTTATTCAAAGTTATATTTTAATATTTAAACCTATTATGTAAGAGTAATTTCAAATGAATAATAGACAGTAATTAATTAAAACTAAACAATTATGAAAAAATGAATGTTACAGCTAATAAAATAAGATTTAAAACTTTGGCCAAAAGTTCAGCAAAACTATTGTATTATTATGTAGAAATGTAAAAGCTTGAAAATTGTTTTCTTTGCTAATGGTATGAATGTTTGGCTCATATTAAATTTGTAAATAAATTGAATAAAAACACATTGTGGGTTATAACTTACAAACAATGTTGATCAAAACAGTTCTATTAAGTATTCTATAACATTAAAGACTTAAGAGTGAAATCTAACATATTATTAGAATTGTTCACTGTAAAAGAATATATTATTTTAAAGGGGTATATAATTTTGAATGCCTTGTATAATATAGATAAAAATAAAATATATTTTTACTATGTTGATAAAAAGATAAAACATTTTTAATAATAATAAAAAAAAAATTATTGAGGTTTTTTAATAATAATTTTCAATTTATTTTATTAATGTTTTTAAAAGTACTAAAATACAAATTAATGTTAATTATCAATAGTTATTACTTTTTCTACCTTAGACAATTAATTTATTTGGGAACTTTAAGCAGATTTCAGTTTTCAATGTACTTTTTGAATATGTATATTGTGTATATCACATTATTTGTCTGGTCAGGAACTACCAATTATTATTTTACTAGATTGGCATAAATATAATACTAATATGCGAACATAAAATTTAATTTATGAATTCTATTATGAAAAAATTATGTTATATTATTAAAAAATATATTTACTTATGTGTGTAGGGTAAATAACGATTACGGTGCGAGTTTAAATTTTGTGCTTTATTACGCCATTCATTGTTAAATTCCTCAGCTTCATCTAAAATAAATCAAAATTCATTAAATACTTATTTAATTCAATATTTATATTTTAATATACATAATAGAAGTTAATAAAATTACTATAGAAACTTAAAATTCATAAGACTTAAATTAGATTTATTTTAATTATACAAACCATCTTCCAAGTTAATATATTCTTGATTTTCTTCTTGGTCACCTGAATATACATTTTTTTGGCGTTCAACAATGTGAGCACGATCCCCAATATGATGTCCAATAGCCAACTTCTTGACTCCTGTAACCGAATCACTTACACTTTTTTTTGTTTCTTTTATTCCTCCAGGACCTGTACGTGTGGATGATGATGCTTTGTAGACCTATTGTATAAAATACGACTATAAAAAATAACCTATACAACAATTTATTATTTAAATTTAAATATGTACTTGAGGTTGACCATTTGGTCCATTTGATGAATATGACATAAATGTAGAACTACTAAATGATTGAGCCGGTTGATTAAGGCCTCTGGTTAGCATACTACTAGTGATATGATTTTGTTGATTCATTGAATTGTTGATCATTGAACCATAATTTCCAAATATATTACCACCACCAAATGGCATCATCATATTTGCCATCGGATCAGGAAATCCTCCCAAGAATGAACTCATCATTTGTTCCAATGGAGGTACAAAGTGTCTGAATTGTATGTAATATAAATTATATTATTAATTGATAAAATAATTTTATACTCTATTTAAATTTTTCAAATAAGAGTGCACTGCAATACTTATTCAAATGCAGTAATGCGACTACTGTTACACCAACTGACTAAAGAAACCACGTAGAGCAGATTTTCAGTCACAAGTTTTGAATAGCTTTTCTCAGTTGCTGGTGCACTATTATTTAAATTTGAGTATAGTTTACAATACATAGTACTCTAGTAAAATATTCATAAATGAACTATTTTATGATTTCAAAAAACCTAAGTATTTAATGATATCTAATAACTGAATAATAAGTAATAACCATTATTGTAGAGTATTTAAATACTTTCTCTGTATTATCTATAAAGCTTTCTTAAATACCTTTCAGAAAATTATTTTAATTTTAAATTTTAAATCCTATAATTTATAAGGACTGGCAATAAATTATGAGCATAATTAGTTATTATTATTTATCAATTATTCAGTTTAATTAAAGTTGATGAGAAGATATAATTAGCAAAATATGCCTCAAAAAAAATCAGAAATATGCGCAAAAATATACATACAAATAATTGACATATAAGTAAAATTATTTTTCATTGTTTACAATTATATTTTGCAATCTGAGTGGAGTGATGAAGCTTATTACCAGAGTCCGGAATTATATGCATTTGCATGTTTGTACATAGTGTATGTAGGCACATCAATGGGGGTTTGAAATGTCTACGATTCATATCACACCGAATTCAAACATCAAATTTAACTTTGCATATTTTGCATATTCGGAGGATTATTGCATATTAGTTCATAAATGCATATAAATTACATATAATGTGTATTTATTATTGACAAATCAATTTTACTGTAGAAAAGATTTGTTGACATTGTTTTTCGGAAAAATTTTTTTTAAAACATTAATATATTTGCCACAATGTATGAAACAGAGCTCTAACTCATGGCTCATAGTCACGTATGTCTTAGTGATATAATTTTATGTACTTGTTTGTTATTCTTGTCGTGTGTAATGTGTCGTTATATTTTAAAATCTTGTATGGTAAAAAGCATATGATTTTAGTTTTATTATTTTGAAAGTTTATTGTTAGGTTTTCAGATATATTATTTCAAAAAATATATAATAAATAATTACAAATTTTAGGTATTACTATTATTGATGCAAAAATTGTGCAATTGATGCAAAATTTTTTTTGTTATTTTTCTGTGGACAATATTTTTAAATCAATCACAACAAAACAAAAAATTAAAGTTAAAAACATAATTAATTTCGCATATTTGCTGGTTTTTTTCCACGTTTATTATACCAGCCCAGTTAGATTCTTTCAGAAAATGAATGGTAGAAAAGTTGTTTCCAGATAAAAATAATAAAAATAAACATCATTATAAAACCAATACATTCCTTGCTCCGCTCAGAATATAAAAAATCTAAAATCTGAAATAAGTTAACAATAGATTTGAAGAACGGATATTAGTACTTAGGAAAATGACTAAAGATAAGTAGAATTAAAACAAAGTATGAGTTAAGAGAACAAAAGGACAAGATAGCTAACAATAATAAGCAGTTATAGTTGTTAAAGTTATAGTTAAAGACCTAAGATCTTTTTTAAAACAGAATGGTGGCTTTCTTGAGCAAGTAAAACGTAGGATTACACATGGTGAGATAAAAGGGAGAAAAGTGACAGGTGTTTAGTATTTCATATAACAAAGAAATTCCCATTAGGCTTTAAGTAGAGTTTTACAGTAGTATGGTGAGACTGAACGTACAATTCCACCCGATAATTTCAAAAAAATATCCATATCTGGAATATGAAAAAAAAAATTTTTAAAAATTAGAGCTTCATTGGACATATTGCTTTATTTCAACATCAATTTATGATTTTTGAATATATCAATTTTGTATCAGAATAAATAAAATTGGGAAAAAAACTCACCACTAATTATTATATTGAAGGTAAGGACTAAAGGTGTAAAATATTGTTTATCAGAATATGCTATAATGTGGGAAGATATTATGTTTCTATAGTTTATTTTCATTACTTCATTAACACTATACTATAATTTATAGCCATTATTGTTTATAAGCCATAAAAATAAATAAATACAATATCACCGTTAAGTTCCTGTATAATAAATAACAAGTTATAAAATTAAAATACCTGCATTTAAAATAATTATATAAATATATTCTGGTATACAAAATGATACACAGGTAATAAGAACAGTTTTCATACATAATATTGCTTAGTAGTTCAATTTCAATAACACTTCTATAACTGCATACACATACCTGCGGGGACTGTCAGGCGATCCAATCAGCTGGTCTGCATCATGTCCTAAAAGATCTCCTTGAAATCCAAAAGGAAACATTTTCAATCCTTTGTTGTTATATGTTTTAATGAATAAACTTTAAAATGTTCAACTTGAATATGATTCGTAAGGTAAATGGTCAATATAAAAATATAGTATGATTATTTATCACTATCCAACACAAGAACAGTTACAAATCCTAACCACTCAATTTAATAATATATATAATATATATTATTGAAAAGTAAAATATACTGATATAATAGTATTATGTGATTTTAACAAAATGACACAGCACAACTAAGCTTTGCAAGAATCACGAAGAATTTTGTAAATTTATAAAATAATATAAAACAATAATGTCCCTATTACACTGTTTATGTAGTATACAGTGCAGTCACCAGTCGGTCGTGTACTCGAGAACTTTCTAGTTTTTTCTTTTTACCTCAGAATAAGCAGCATAGCCATAACTGAAGTATAAATGTAAATGTATTCGTTTGGCATAAATATTATTTTAAGTATCCAATTAAGTTGGTTATACTACATTTTCTTATCATACATGTTTCGTTATCATATTATTAACTATTTATTATTTACTAGTATTTAATATTTAATAAATAGTTAACTTAAACACGGTATATTTTAAGCCGTGTTTTTAAATAACCATTAAATCATTGTCATTTATTTAATCTGTGCATTATTTATTCTTTAAGTTGGTCTGTTTAACTAGTTTATGACAGTGTAAAGATGAACCCTCTTGTTTCCACTCCAAATAATTTTATAAATAATGGATTAATAATGTTTTTTTTATATATATATATAGTCATTTAAGTAACTATATAAACATTAATTGTGTAAATTATATGCGATTATCTGCAAACAAATAACATTTGTTGTGGTAGTCTGAGTTTACCATGACAAAATACAACTGAGTGACAGGAGTGATGTTACGGGCCCGTTCGAACACACAGCCTTTTGATGGGAAGATGTACACTTGTGTCAGGTCTACAAATGGTTTTTTATTAGAATTTAAACAAAACACGGTTGACACGTTGTATCTATAAGTGAAAACCCTGCGGCACCAAACCCGGGTTATGACTTAGTTGTAGTTATCATGTATAAGTACACATAAGAAATGTCTGAACGGGTTGGTGTCGAGGTGACGGTACGTCAGCAGTGTTGTAGCTGTCTCGATTCCTGACTGAGTTCAAGTTCTCCTTTAGCGATGATTCCGGCCTCCTTAGCCTAGGTGGTGATGGACGCTGCCAGTAGACAACGGCGTCTACTGGTGGCGCGTCGTCCACACCCAAACACGTTTTCCCTTTGGCCCCTTGAACACGTTTTCCCTTTGGCCCCTTGAACACGTATCACTCGTTGTTGCATGGGAACGTCGTCGATTTACCACACCCGTATTAATGGCCCTGACGTGTGTACACTTAACGCGACGACCGATTTCATATCTCGTCGCGTGAAATTCTTAACTTATAATTAACAAACTTTACACATTAAGAACAGAATTCGTCACAATGACGACGTACTTGTACCCGGACAATATCCAATAATTTGGATGAACGCCACAATTTAAGATATATCTATAAACCGTGACGAACACCAATCAGTTAAACTGGATGGGAGACTGATAATATTGACACATACCAACCAGTATTTCAAAGAACATTAGATGGCTTACAGCTTCAGTAAAAAAGAATTTGTAGAAAAAATTAGTTACACGTTGTCACGATCTCGTAGTTCTAATTTAATTTGAAATTGTATTATAAAGAAATATCAGCAGAGGAAATTGTATACATTTTTTTAACTTAGCAGTTAGTATTTTTTTCTCTAACTAAGTACACTAAGCACATTTATATTACTTTGTGTTTTGAATTTATGTGATCTAAATACGCTAAATGGTATAATCACAGAATAATCTATTCTATAATCAAGGGTGGATCTAGAAATGAAAAGGAGGGTCTAGAGTGCTAGACCATAAATTTTAATTCGAATAAAAGTCAACAATATTAATGCATATTTCACATATTAGCTGAAAAAAAAATCAATTGTATGTTTATAATTTAAATAGTTGAATGAAAATATATATTATATTATCAAAAATATCAAATTAATTTGATCAATTTTCTGTATTGCTTCTAGATCTAGATGACTTTGAAAATATGTTTATTACACCCTCGATATTTACAGGTATTTTCTAATGAATATTTAAAACTTATATAGTAGGTAAGTGATAGTATGGGGCTATAGCCCCTCTTGTATCCGCCCCTGTCTATGGAATAATTGTCTTTTCATCAACAATTAACCCGTAGACAGGGGCTTCTCTTATTATCTGATTTGAATATTGTTATCTATCAGAATACTAATGAATAATGCCAACTATCAAAAATTTATCAGACACCTTAGATCATATACTATATTATCTATCAAACATTATCTAAGCACTAGATAGTAAAATAAAAAACTTTATATCACTAATAAAATAAACGGTTCTTATCAGTATCTAGAATAAACGACACAGTTAGGTACCTTACTTCTTAGAAAATATGTTTTTACATATATACTTAGGTTTTAATCGTAAACCTATTTGTCAATAGGTCTATGGTTTTAATGGTTTAATGTGGACATCAAGGTGGATTAATCTACCTTGGTGGACATAATAATATATTATATTTCAGCATTTCTTCAAATTGATAATTGTGAGTAGCCGCCAATCGCAGCTATAGTAGCATCATTGATTAAATATTCCTGACAACTGTACTGCTAAAAATCACTGTTAGTTATCTATATTCTCTATTATGTTTTCTATAAAAAAAAATAGTAAGGTACATAACTATGTCGTTTATTCTGAATAGGTACCGATAAGAACCGTTTTTTTTATTAGTGATATAACCGGTTTTTTTTTTTTAATGTCTGGTAACAATTTTTGCAAAGACCACGATTTCAGCGATAATTTAGATAATATTATCTATGATGTTAAATACTGTTAGATAATATGTCTATGATTTTATTTTTCTGTCTTATATTTTTAAAAAATATTTTTAGTATAATTTAATGAAGATTTATATTTTCGTTTTACCTATAGTAAATTAACAAATAATTAGAATGTTATCAGTTATTATTATTTATTAACTAATTGTTAGATAATTTTAATTTTATATCTACCATAAAACACATAGTAAGTATGCAGAATGTACATTTGAGGTGTTTGCCAAAATTTTCAAGATTCTCATCACACACATATTCATCTGAAAGTATACATTTTGATTTGCCTGATATATTTTCCAGTGAAAACTCTTTAAATGCTGTGAAATCTTTTAAGTTATTATGCCCTCAACTTAAGATCGATGGTAAACGTCAAGCTGCTGTTCTAATTCCATTATGTGTTGTTAAAGATGAAGTATCTATATTATATACATTAAGAACAATTAATTTAAAACGAAATAGCGGTCAAGTATCTTTCCCTGGAGGAATGCGTGAAAAAAACGAAGAACTAAAAAATACAGCATTAAGAGAATCGTGCGAAGAACTTGGAATAAGCAAAACTAATATTGATATTTGGGGCAGTGGGAAATTTATTGTTTCTAAAGATATAGCAATTATGCCATTTTTAGGAAATATTGGAGTTATAGAGCCCAATAAATTAAATATTAATCACCATGAAGTGCAATATGCTTTTGCTCTTCCTCTTAGGCACTTTTGTGAACCAACTAATTGTAAACACACTTGTTTCAGACAATTATCAATTAATAAGTTAATGATGATTCCTGTCTACATGAATGATTACAAACGAATTTGGGGAATGACTGCATATATGACTTGGTTGGCTCTAAATTCAATTATACCACAGCAATTTACACATAGTATCTATCATAATATGAAACAAGTTTAAAATTATCACTAATAGTATACAAATATTGTATGTTACCATTTTTAATTAGTTTTATTTTAGAATACAGTTATCAATTCTATAAAAATGAAATAAAATCTCTCTACTTTTATACTATATGAATTAAATATTTTTGTGTTCATCTTTAATTATAATTAAAATACAATTACATTTTGATAAACCAATTTTAAAAACCAGTACTAATTTTTTTTTAAATATTACAATCGAATTTATTCTTTAAATTACCAATGTCATCATAATTGTTAAATATTGACATTAGGTAGGACTATCTAAATTAGTATAAGGTTTGTACTTACAATTATAATAATACAAAACTAAGTTAAGGTTACAATGTGTTTTTTACAATAAATTGTCAATAATTATTTATTATTTACTTTATTGTACCTATTTAATAACAATATACTTTTTGTATACTATGATAATTTATTGTACACATAAATACATAAAACGATTGTTTATCTGTGATTGTATATTATTGTATAGTATTACTTTATAAATATCATGGTCTTACTCACAGAGTTAATTTACAGATTAAACATAATTACCCCATGGCCTTCCCCATAAATATATATATTTATACTTATATATAGCTGTGATTGTGATAATACTCAACCGTATTGGATTGTTTTTTTTTGATAATAGAACTTTGGTACATTTTAAAAAAACGAATGGCCGCGGACAACAGGAAATGATAATATTTTTATGAGTCCATTAAAATTTATTTATGAATAAAAGTAAAGTAAACTATACTAATCTAGTAATTAATATTAATGTTGAAGCGTAATTATTTAAGAGCGTTTGAAACATATAACAACAAATATTCTTATACAGAAAAAACGAATTTTATTATGAACAATATTAAACTGCTAAATAATAAGAGTTATACAATTTAATGAGAATATGAATATTTTAGGATACCCATTTAAATTTTTATTCATAAACATTTTTTAGACAAGCAAAGAATTGCCGTATTCTTCCTTTGTGAAAACTACTGGTAGTGGTTATTTCTATTGTTTTGTTGATGAATTTCAATTATATAATTCAGCTAACATCACTATGAATACAAATTCCATAGGTTCTAAAAACATTTACAACTACGAACATTTTTGTTAAATAGTAGAAATAAAATGTGTATTATTTGTATTATATTATAATTATAATATGTATACAAATGTTTAAAATAATTCTGATTTATTTCAATTTATCAGTAACCACTTTCAAACACTTATTGGTAACATCTAAATATTTTATATATTATATAATTATAAATTTAATTTAATAAAATGTTTTGTGTTTTCGGACTTTTTGTCCGACACTAAAAATGTACTCGGACTTTTTGTCCAAATTTTTTTGAAACGGAATTTTTGACCGATTCCGTATATTTGATTGAATATCACATTTACAATAATAAATTTAATCTATTTCGTTCGAGAAATTACAATACAATTTTGAAAGCTAGAAAACGTATAGACAACATATATAAAAAATTTAACGTTAGCAATACAATTTTAAGAATGGGTTAAAAATTAATTTTTAGCATTTGTGTAGGCAACTTATTAAAATAGGAGATGTACAATTACAGGAGTTGAATAGGCAACATTATATAAAAATTTGGGAACCACTGAGCTTTCTTATCAAATATTACCAGTGAAACGTACGTTGTAATCTAACTATGCTAATCATTTTTCGAAGTTACCACACATTATCATATGATGTCACATGATCATATCTTTAATCGTGATTTGGTCCTGTGGATTTGAATTATGCACATGTCTATTTCAAAATTCTTGGGACTATAGCTTTTAATTCGAAAAAATTAAGATGTATGAACCCACTCTTAAAAATTTGACAGATCCTAATTATGGGAAACCTCCCAAACACCAGAATCCAGTAAGTTATTAAATAATTGATTAAAAATTTGAATTATTCAGACTTCAATATTTTTTTGTTAGATTCTTCAAAATTTAGGTACTCCACATATAGATTCCTTTAACTATATGGTTGATGAAGGATTAAATTTGGCTGTTGCTGATTTATTACCAGTTGAGTTTGATACAAAGGGAAAATATCGTATTAAACTTGCATTATTGGTAAATATATTTTTTTTATTATTGTCTTTTTAAATGCATTGAAAAGTATAACCATAAAGTGTGTAATAATTTCAGTAAATTACTTATGTTTTGTTATTTATTTTTACTTCATTACTTCCATATGGCAATTAATATATTACAGTATTTTATTTATTGTCTTTTAGAATGCTACCATTCATGTACCCCAAGTACCTACAGGTTCGCTTGGTGTCACATCACACAGTATTTATCCATTAGAATGTCGACAACGTCATAGTACCTATTCTGGAAAGCTTGAAATAAAACTTAGTTGGTCAATTAATGGTGTTGAACAAATGACTATTAACAGAGATATTGGCCAAGTACCAATTATGTTGAAGGTACCAATTTTTTAAAAAAAAAATTTTTTTAATTTTATTATTTCTGATTTTTGTTTAGTCTAAGTTGTGTCATTTGGAAGGAATGACTTCAGAACAACTAGTTAAACATGGAGAACATCAAGATGAATGGGGTGGATATTTTGTAGTAAAAGGCAAAGAACGTTTAGTTAGGCTTTTGTTAGGCACAAGAAGGAATTTTCCAACTGCTGTTAAAAGAAATACTTGGAAAAACAAAGATCAATATTTTTCAGATATTGGTATTATGATTAGGTGTGTTAAAGATGATATGACAACTGTTGTAAGTTTTTATAACTAAATATATCTATTTAAAATTTAAGTTAATTTAAACTTAAATTTTTAGACAAATGTATTACACTTTTTAACAAATGGTACAGCCAAATTAATGATCCCAATTAAGAAGAGGGTATTTTATGCACCAATATTTTTAATACTTAAATGTCTCACTGCTAGTTCAGATGAGTTTATATTTAGACACATTATTAAGGGACATGAAGACAATTTATATTTTATGAGGTAAGATTTATTATTATAACTACTTATATAAGTTATAACATTTATTCATAAAGGTCTATTATGGAGATGATGCGTGCTTTACACGAAAGTAATATCCATAGCCAAGAAGATGCTAAGGAATATATTGGTTTAATGTTCAGATCTAGATTCTATGAATTACCTGAATGGAAAACTAATAAAGAAGTGTGCGATTATATGTTGAGGTCTGTCATATTTATATTTATAATTTATAGTTAACTCAGATAACAATATGTATATAATAATAAATTTACTCTAGGAATTATGTTTTAATACATTTGCACATTGATTTTGATAAATTCAAACTTTTAGTGTTTATGTTGCAAAAGTTATTTGCAGTTGCTCAAAATAAATGTTTAGAAGAAGGTGCCGATGCAATTATGATGCAGGAATTAATGCTTGGTGGCCATCTTTATTTGAAAGTAACACAATATTATAAAATTTAAAAAGAAAAATGTATAAGGGATTTTAAAATATTTTTTTTTTTTTGCAGATGCTTAAAGAAAAATTACAATATTGGTTAGAATTGATTAAAATTAACCTACTTAAAATTGACCAGTCTGGATCACCATCAATTGGTGATATGATGAGTGCTATGAAAAGATGTGATATAATTGAGCATTCATTATTAACTTTTTTTGCTACTGGTAATCTTTTTAGTACAACAGGTCTAGGAATGCAGCAAGATAAAGGTATTTTTCATTTAGTTTACTTAATAAGTATCTTCTTCACCTTCATCCCAACTATTTAGCACTACACTTGTTCAAAACTAACTAGATCTCACCTCGCATACACTAACTGTTCTTAAATCATTCTTAATCACAATCGAACCATCTCTTTTTCAGTTTTCCTCTCTCCCATTTTCTCCTGCATTTATTTTCATTTTAATGCTTACTATAGTGTGTTCACCGAGAGAACACAACTGGGTGGAAACCAAAATTTGTTTATTATTGTACATTCCCAACACTATTCTAGGTGTGAACGCTTTGCGCTGTACGCCATGTTGTTGCTGTGAGACAGCCGCGCGGTGGCATTCACATATTGATAGCTGTGTGGGAGAGGAATTGTATGTACACTGGAGTCCGAGTTGCGTTCTCTTGGCAAACGAGGTATAGTTCAGATTCCTCTATCCCCATGACCATGCCATCAAACCATCTATTTATTTTATTTCATTTTATCTACTTTTGAAGCTATGCTTAAGTTACCTTTTATGTACTCATCCTTTATCCTATCTTATATTATCACTTTAGTCATCCACATAAGTATTGCCATCTTTGCTACACTCATTCTCTATTCTACTTTTCTATCTACCACTCAACACTGAACCATAAAATATAGTCAATCTTACCACACTTCTGTAGAATTTAACTCTAAGTCTCATTGGCATTCTCATGTCACATAAAACACCTGACGATATTTAATATCTCCCCTTTATCTAACCACACTAATCATATGTTTCACATGTTAATGAAAGTCATCTTTTTATTTTGTACAGAACAATCCTAGGTACTTAAAACTCGCAACTTCGCCTATAACTGCTTATTGTCATTAGTTGTCCTGTTACTTTAAACTCATTCTCAGTTTTTTTTCTACTTATCCTTAGTCCTTTTCTTTCAAGTACTAATTTCCATTCTTCAAGTGTATTGTTTACCTATTCTAGATTTTCTCATATCAAAACTATATTATCTGCAAAAAATTATGTACTATATACCTACTTTCATATGTTGTCCCCTTGCACATCTGAAATAGAATAATCTGACAAAATCTTGTTTAAAACTCTCCATACTGTTTGATAGAATTTTACATCAACTGTCGACCTAACGCAACCCTATTTGTCGCCTCTTAAAACAAGTAGAGTAGGAGTACATTAGGAATATTCTGATTCTTGCCCGAAAACGAGATTTACTTTACTTAATATACACTTACTTTATACTCATTATGTATTAGAAAAACAAATTAACTTGTGAGATTAAATCATTAAATAATATGATTATTAGAGATATGCCATGTTTATTCTTGAGTTTATTAAACATTACTAAAGTAATTATTACACTGGTAATTTATAATTTTCATGTAAAAAAAAAAAGGATTGACAATTTTGGTTGAAAATATAAGTCGAATGCGTTATATGGCTCATTTCCGTGCTGTTCATCGTGGTGCTATTTTCGAGTCCATGAGAACAACTGAACCTCGGCGGTTGCTTCCAGATGCTTGGGGTTTCATTTGTCCCGTGCATACTCCTGATGGGACTCCGTGTGGTCTTCTCAACCATTTAACCAAATCTTGTATAGTGAGTAAAAATGTTACTAACTAATATTTTTAATATTTTTAAACATTAATCAGAATTTTTATTTAAATTAGATTGTGTACATATCAAATATACTCATATTTATTGGCAAAATAACATTTAATAAATATATTATATTTATTTCTTTAGGTAACAAAATCAATAAACAAAAAAATATTGCGTGATATGCCTAAGGTATTAGTATCTCTTGGTATGTGTGAATCTTCATATAAACCTCAAGATACAAATATCGGATTTGTTTACAATGTAATGCTCGATGGTCGTTTAATTGGATATGTACCAGATTCATTAACTGAACTTTTTATTAGAAAACTTCGTATACTAAAAGTGCAAGGAAAACAAGTAAACTATAATTGTATTTAATAACGAATAGTATTTAATTTAATGGGTTTTTTTTAGTAAAGTTAAATTTTTTATAATTTTAACTTTTTAAGCATTTATCATATTATAATAATGTTACCTCTTATTATTAATTAAATATTCTGGATATTCAATCTTTTAAATATACAAATATTAAAAATATTTTTTGATTTTTAAGTATGCAAAGTGGAATAATGCAATCAAGTATTCACACATGGTAAACAATGATTACCCTACCTCTTATTTAAACTTGAGATTTGTTTAATGTCCATGTACATTACATTTATGTTATTTACTCAATATTCAATAATAATGTTTATAAAACAATTTAGAATATGGCCTACTTAAAAATATTAAAAATAAGGGTAGCTGTTCATAAGAAATATTAAATTACAAAAACATTGAGATAGATAATGTATATATTTTTATATTTTTAAATTAATAATTATTATAAATCTACATTCTAAATAGTCATATTTTGTTAAAATTAATTTTTCCAGCGAAAAACAATATAATTTTAGTACTAAAATTATGATAGCTGTGTATTACCATTAAATTGTTTTTTACTATACAACATGTGGCATCTGTATGTGAATTTAAAAATTATTCAGAATTTATTTATTTATTAGATACCAGAGACTACTGAAATTGTATGGCTTCAAAAGAAAGACGAAAATGTTATAGGTCAATTCCCTGGACTTTTCTTATTTACTGGAAATGCAAGAATGATGAGACCTGTTTTTAATTTAGATTTAGCTCAAATAGAGCTCATTGGAACTTTTGAACAAGTTTATTTAGATATAAGTATTTCTGAAGATGAAATCAGACCCAATGTAAGTATGGTGCATGGTTATCTACTCAGGTTGAAATACGGTTTATCGGGTGGCCACAAATGATATAATGACAAACTACTAAATACATACCATTTAAGTTGAAGATTAACATTTTGCATAATATTACATATGTTAAATATATCAAATACTATAAAGTACCTAAAAAATAATTAGTAATTGAGTTAAAATTTTTTTGCAAACTACAAGGTTTTTTGACTAATATAATTAATTAATAATTATATGTATACTAACTAAAAATTAGACGAATACCGAAATTGTATGATGTTCACATACAATTACAATAGCATGGAAACTTAGATTTTTACTACAGACAGTAGTAGATAGGCTGAACCTTGAATTTTTTTTTTCGGATAAAATATTTAACCCTATAATACAATATAATTAGACATACATATCATTAATTAGAAAAACATTATTTTTGTAAGCATAATATGACACCATTTTTTTTTTTATCAAATGCAGGGTGTAACTGAACTATTTGACATTTTTATATGTAACTACAATGTAAAAATGTCAAATAGTCCTGTTACTCCCTGTATACTCGACACTTGGAGATACCATTAAATTATTTGTCGAGTGACATGAGACAAGCCTATGGTTAACTAATACTTAGTTTATGCATAAATTAGTCTTTATTTCGTAAAATTTTATAACATATGTTAACTGTAATAATTTAATGAAAAAATAACTTAAACATAGCAGCATTAATGACAACATTTAATTTTTTATGCTCTAATTCAAATCCTCTGAGTTATTTGGTACTTTAAACATGACATTTTTTTAATTGTTGGATTTGTACCCCGTAATACTACGGCACAACATTTCACCATTGTTGCCAAACAAAAGTTTTAAGTTCTCAACTCGTGTAAATAACCGTGTTATTATCATTTGGATTTTGGCGGTAAAATTAAAACGTTATTGATATTGTCATACGGGGAACATACAGCTAGCACTGAACATGATATAGGGCCATTTGTTTATTATGAGCTGATATAATGTGTTCCGACCATAGTAGATAACCATGGTTTGGTACAGTTATAAAACATTCTTGAGAGACAAAACTTTATATAATATTAAGTATTATTTTTTATAATATAGGTAACTACACATAGAGAAATTACAAAAACTAATTTTCTTAGTCATTTGGCATGTTTAATTCCTTTACCTGATTATAATCAAAGTCCACGGAATATGTACCAATGTCAAGTAATTATACATTATAATTCATTTATTTGTTATTTTTCATTCTAGTGTTTAACACAAAAAAAAAAAATAAAGATTTCTAATATACAGATCATTCATATATACAATATTATCTAGTAAATTTTGACTGAACTATATTTTTGTATTTTTATTAACCCCATGAATAAATTATTTAAACATAACTTACAATATTAAATTGTACTTAAGTACTCATAATTAAATAGAAAATTAAAACTATCATTAAATTATTGTTTAATTGAATCAATTCGACATCCAGAGTTTAAATTGTCCTCCGAACCCATAATTTATATTCTTAAAAAGTTTTTTATAAATATAAGTAAATTTAATTACAGATGGGAAAACAAACTATGGGAACTGCTTGTCACAATTGGCATATTCAGTCTGAAACAAAATTATACAGAATACAAACTCCTGCATCACCATTATTCAGACCTGTTCATTATGATGAATTATCATTAGATGATTTTGCAATGGGTACAAATGCTGTAATAGCTGTTATTTCATATACGGTAAAATACAATTTTAATTAAAACCTGTCAGATTCTGAGTGCAGTGGGGAATGTATTGGTTTTATTGGTAAGGAGAGATTTTTTTCAATTTTGTTTTTCAATGCTTTTTTACATAAGTTAGTTAGGTATTATATCATATTATAAATGTAATAAGATAAAAATATAAAAATTTAAATTTGAAATTATGCCCAATTGTTTAATTGATTAGATTGAATATGATTATATTTAAACAGATTGTAACTTATTATAAATTTAATAAAATTCATAATGAGTGGGCTATTGTTATAGGTCTGAAGTAGAGCAGCTAGAGAGGAAGTTAAATGTATATCTGTACACAAGATTAATCATTGCTAATCAAAAATGATTCTGAGCAAAGTTTGGTTATACATGTTTTGAAAAGCCGTAATATTTTCAATTTGGGAATAATACGTTTTATTTTTATTTTTTTATCATGAAACCCCCTAAGTAAATCAAAAAATGGTATTTTTAAAGTATTACCCTCGTCAAATTTCCTTTCAGAAAAGATGCTACACTTGAAAGTCTGAGCAAAATTATTGGTAGAAAAGTTGTTCATAGAAAAAAAACATTGAAAAACTAATACAGTTCTTGCCTCCCTTAGAATCTAAAATATCAAAAGAGCTGATACTGGAGACAGCTAATGCTTTATGTGGGAAGGTAGGATATATAAAGTTATTTAGTTTATATCTTTACACAATGATACACCATTATTAATGAACAATTCAGAATGGTCAGTAAAACATATTTTGAAATTCCGTTTCCTATTTTCGTCAAAATTTGATCTTAAAATGCTTGAAAAAAAAAAAACTAATGCCTTTTACTCAAATTTATTTTCAAGCGTTTCACTAAAGTCATATAATATAACAACAGAAAAGTATATTACAATCAATTTTATTATGCGTGCTTTATTTAAAAAAATTTGTGCCTGTTAAAACAACTTTAAAGAATAAATCTTGCTTCAAACTATCTATATAGCTTTTGTGAAAGACAATTTTTCTAGTTAGTACATTAGGGAGGATATTTTTTTGATTTTCCTAGTAGTTGTTTTGATAATTTGTGATAAAACAGGAAAACTTACTCAATAACGGTTACCGTTATTATTAATTGAATTAATTTTATATATTTATAAATAATACAAATAATTGTAGATACCTGACATTTTTACAGAGTCCTTCATTAGCCCTTCCTATACATGACATTTAAAATTGTCTAGTTTTTTAAGTTTTTATTTAGTTTTTTACGTACAATTCTATGGGTTTTCCATTTATTATGAAAATACTTGTAAAATAAAAAAAAAATAACTTAATTATTCATCATCTAAAATTGAAATTAAATTATTTAACCATTAAAATATAACAAAAAATGTCCCTTGTTATTTTTTTATTGAAGTATTATTTTTGACAGGAAAGTTTTGTCACACAAAAATTAAAAAAAATATCATGGTTAACAGCATAGTAAAACTAATTGAGTGAAATGTAAGTTTTTTTTTTTTTAATTTTAGAGCCTTTTAAAGTTCAAATGTTGATGAAAATCTTAAAAATCACAACATTTTAAAATATGTTTAACCTAACATCACTTAGAATAATTGTTCTTTATTAGCTATGATTTATCATTGGGCACAGGTATAAATTAAATAACTATATATTATTCTATCTTCCTAACTTCTGAACTATAGCAGTGACACATGAGTCAGCAGTATCAGCTCTTTTTATTTTTTTTTTTTATTTACTACATCAGTTGTGCATCAGTTTAAATTATTATAGGTATTAAAATGTTTTTTATTTTAATAAATGTTTTTAGGGTTATGATATGGAAGATGCAATGATCATAAATAAAATGGCACTGGAGCGAGGTTTTGCTCATGGTTCTATATTTAAGACTGAATTAATTGAAACCAAGGTATATTACAATATTAGTAATCATAAATTTATGATTTATGAATTGTTAACTAATTCAAATGTATTTCACCTAGCCACAAACATATTTTAAGCGTGATTCGTTTCAAGATCATCTAGCAGAATTCTTGGATGAAGATGGTCTCCCTTATATTGGTTTAAAACTTTCTAAGGGAACACCGTATTATAGGTATGTAATACTTTAATTATAATTAGTTAAATTATTTATCTAATAAAAGTTGAGTTTATTTTAGTTATTTTGATGAAACAATACAAGGATTTAATGTAGCTAAGTATACCAGCAATGAAGATGCTATTGTTGATTCAGTTCGCCAATGTGGAGATTTTACAACTGGTCGAAAAATACCTAATAAAGCTACAATTACTATTAGAGTTCAAGTGTGTAATTATACATTTTTTTTTTTTTTAAGTATTTTGTTATTATTTCTTACACTATTTAATTTTTTTAAATATTAGAGGAATCCAGCAGTTGGTGATAAATTTGCTAGTCGTGCAGGGCAAAAAGGAATATTTAGCAAAGGTTGGCCTTCTGAAGACTTGCCATTTACTGAAAGTGGAATGGTTCCAGATATTGTTTTCAATCCTCATGGTTTCCCTTCAAGAATGACCATTGGTAAATTGTTCATTCTTAAATTTTTTTTTTGATAATGTAACAAATAAAATGTTTATTTCTAGCTATGATGATAGAATGTATGGCAGGTAAATCTGCTTCTGTACATGGTGTAGTACATGATGCTACACCTTTCAAGTATAGCGAAGAAGATACAGCAATTGATTATTATGGACGTCTTTTAGAAGCAGGTAATCTATTTGTATATAGTTAGTATTTAAATTTTAAATAGTAAATAATTTATAACAGTGGTCGGCAACCGGCAGCTCGCGGGCCGTATTCGGCCCGCGAGTCTATTAAATACAGCCCGCTTTAGATTCTATAACAACAAAATTTAATTTAATATCATATCAAAAAAATCATATTGTATAAATAGAATTGAACGTTTCTATCAGTCATATTTTATAATGGTAGATATACCTTGACAGTTATCGATAAGATAGAGTAGAAACAACGAGTGTATTTGGGTTATAATCTTAATATTCGATTGTGTTCAGTAACATTGCGTTTTTCGTACGGGTATGTGCAGTTTTTTCGTCTTGTGTAGTTTTAATAACATTATAATTTCGATTTTATATTTTTAGTGATCGTTTATTTGACTGTTAATTTAAATTTTAAACTAATTATAATGAATGTCAGTAAAAAAAAAAAAATAGATTCTGAATGTCGTGTATTTCAGCATAAATGGAGCAATCAATACTTTATTATTGAAAATAAAGGAAAAGTTATGTTCCTTGTTTGTCGTGAATTAATTTCTGTATTGAAAGAATACAATATTAAACGGCATTATGAATCCAAGCATAAAGTTAAATATGACTCCTTATACAGACAGTTCAGAGAAATTGAAGTTAATAAACTACAAAAAGCTCTAACCGGAGAACAAACGATCTTTTCAAAAGTAACTATTCAAAATAAAGCCGTTATTTCTGCCAGTGTGAATGTAGCTATGTTAATTGCGAAAGAAGGAAAACCATTTACAGACGCAGAATTTGTCCAAAAATATGTACTAAGCATGGCCGGTAATATTTGTCCAGATATTGTACATAAGTTTGAAGAAGTCCCATTATCTGCTCGTACAATAACAAGACGTATTGAAAATGTTGGTGACAANTCGAGGAATTAATGAAAAGTTTGAAATAACTGAAGAAATTGCCGCCGTCAGTACTTTAAAGGGGAAAAACTTTTTGAATCATTAGAATTTTCATTATCAACAGTTAAATTTGTTGAAGCTATTTTGATACTTCAACAAGAATTTAATAATCGATTTCAAGATTTCAAACGACATTCACAGTATTTTCAACTACTCGCCAATCCGTTTAATATTGATGTGAAGATATACCTGTTGAGCTTCAAATGGAAATAATAGATTTGTAGCCACAAAGTATCTTAAAAGACTCATTCAAAGCATCGCCTTTACTTTTTTTCGCTGAACTTCCTGCATCATTTTCAAAAATTAAAAATATAGCTGCAAAATACTTCAGTATGTTTGGATCCACTTACGTATGTGAACAGGCTTTTTCTCATATGAAAAAAATTAAAAATCCATACCGTTCACACTTAACTGATGACCATCTCCACCATGTACTTAGAGCGAGCACAAGTAATTTTAATGTGGAAATCGAAAAAATAATAAACAATATTCAACAACAAAAATCACATTAAGTCTATTAAGCAGTTGTAATTTCCATACTTTTATATTATAATTATATTATTAAAAACTGTAATTTTATTTTTATGTTCTATTAATCTATTATTTTAAAGTTTTAAATAGTTATTTTTTTTCTTAGTAAATAATTTGGAATACAAAATTTTTATTTTTGTCTGTCCCGCGAACATTTTTTAATTTATGAATGTGGCCCGGGAGTCTAAAAAGGTTGCCGACCACTGATTTATAACATTCCATAGTTTTATTTATAGTGTTTTCGTCGCAAAAGAAATGTTTTATTATTATTATAATTATTATCATAATTTTGGTGTTTTTCTTAGTATTAGTTTTTACTGAAACTTAAACATTTACTTTAAAATTGTGTTACGTTGTGTTAAAAAAATAACTTGTTCACTTCATACATTTAACAAACACAATTTATAGGTGGATATAATTATTTTGGAACGGAACCAATGTATAGTGGAGTAGATGGTCGGGAAATGCAGGCATCTATATTTTTTGGTGTTGTACATTATCAACGATTAAGACATATGGTATCAGATAAGTGGCAGGTAATATTAAAGACTAACTCATTCCATTATATCTCAAATAATTGATTCATATTTTGTTAGGTTCGAAGTACTGGCGCAGTTGATGCTGTTACCAAACAACCTGTAAAAGGTCGAAAAAGAGGTGGTGGCGGTCGTATTGGTGAAATGGAAAGAGACGCATTAATTTCACACGGAACTCCATTTTTAATGCAAGATCGTTTCATGGATTGTTCAGACAAATCAACAGTTAGTATTTGTAATATTTAATTATTTTTATCAAAATTATGGGTTTGTAGCTCAATGGTTACAATTACAAATTAGAATTAAAATTAACAGTAAATAATAATCAAAAGAACACAATAAGATGAAGTTAAGACAAAGAATAGGAGTGTTCAATATTCACAATCTGCATCAGTCTTGTAAAAGGCTTATTGGCAGCATTTTTTGTCAAACATATTGTGACATAAAATGGATAGATATTATACAAAAAAAAAACCACTTTAAAGTTAACTAGTTGAATAATGAGAATAATTGCAAGAAAGCAAGAATATGAGAATTATCTTGTGACATTTCAACTTATACCCAACTAAAGACAAGAAAATACACTTTACTCACTTCAAAGTATAATTATAACTTATGATATATGGATCCCACAATATAGATACATATTTTAAACAGAGCGTACTAAAGCACAGCATAGAGATTAATTGACATAGTTAATTTAAACTGATCACAAACATATTTTTAAAAAAAAAAAAAAACATTTTTAGTGCCCTGTAACACAATGATTCTATATTAAGAATATATGCTTCTAATTTCTCACCAATGAGACCTAAAGAATGTCATAATAGTGAATTTCAGAACAATGAAAAATAAACCTACATCAAAGCCTAAAAAACAATTGTGTTATGATCTTCATTCAACATAAATTCATCAACAGAATTTATTCTTACAAAAAGATTCAGATTATTAACGAACAACAGACATTTGCTGTATCTCATTAATCTCTGATGCTTTTTATAAATAAATAGTGATAAAAGCATTAGAGAGATAATCCTGTGTAGCATGCTAGAAACGATGCCAATAAAGCAAGTTTAGATGCCATGGACTTTTACACATTACTTTCTATTTGATAAGTATGTACCAAATCAAGATTTAATAATGGCTCTCCAAAGCCAGGAAGTTTCAAGGCATCAAGCAAGATTTCGGGATTCGCCCTATTAAAGGCTTTAATGAGGTTCAACTAGAATATATCAACCTAAGCATAGTCTGATAAAACATCCATTACGTATTTAGTGAAAATCATGTCATATATTAATGTAGTGTTCAGGTCAATATACTGTTCGTCACAAAGTATATTATCAAACGCAGATAATAGATTCAAAGAATCAAAAGTGATTTAGTATAGATTGGATGATAATTTGATATGTTAGTTACACGAGCTGATTTATAAATATTTTATACATTTATTTTAACTTTTATCTTTGTTGACCATCCACACTTTTATACATATTAAGTCTTTTATTGTAAATAGCTATTACTATAAATATTGAAATGCTTTTTAGTGCTGCCCAAACGTAATATGAAATAAATAACCCAATTTATAAAATGATGTGAAAGAACTTAGCTTAAGTATTTCATGAAAACTATATTCATTAAGAAATTAACATAAAATATTTTGAACTTAACTATTTAATTAATAATGTAACTAACAAGGTTTAGCATATTATTAAAAATTAAGAATGAACACTGATAAATATGTATTTAGTTAACTAATAATGTTGGTATATTATTTTTATGTTTTAAAATTAAAAAAAAGTTTTGTGAAATGCCACTATATTATATTTTGTTATTTTTCAATTTCAGGCTTTGTTATGTTTGAGATGTCATACAATATTATCACCAATAGTTCACTTTAAAGAAGATAGTTATTCAAATAAAGTTGCTATTTGTAAAATATGTGAATCTACTCAAGTACAAGAAATTGGAATTCCTAATGTGTTTAAATATTTGTGTAGTGAACTTGCTGCAGTGAATATTAAATTACAATTTAATATTGAAGTATAAATATTGTAAAAAAAAAAAAAAAAAAACAATTCATTCATAATAAGTATGTTCGTTTTTTATTTATTAAAAAGTATAGAGAAAATAAGAAAAACCTATGTATGGGTTTATAGATTTAGAGAAGTCATTTGACAAAGTGCCAAGAGAGATTCTGATATGAGAGTTTAATGAGAAAATAATATATCACTTAGGTAGAGGATATATGTGAAGGTTCAAATACAAGTTTCAAAAGTTTGTGTGGAACAACTGAAGATTTTTTGATTGAAGTTTGTGTGAATCAGGATTTGGTTTAAAGTCCTTACCTGTTTTCTGTTGTAATAAATGAAGTTACGAAGGGTATACAAGATGAGACATCATTTGTTCATGATGTTTGTAGATGATATGGTTTTGTCAGTTTTGATAGGAGAAATGGAGAATAACACTTGAAGGACAAGAGAATTCTAATGAAACTTAAAGATGAGTTCTACAAGAGTTGTGAGAGTATAGTTCAGACTAAAACTTTAGAGCACTGGGTAGATAGCAGAATAAAATAGATAATGACTATAGCGGAGATGAGAATCATTTAGATAGATGTAGAGTGACAATAGAAGATGAAATAAGAAATAAGTACATAAAAGTTAAAAACCTAAATACATTAAAAATACCGACATATTTTGTATGATGGGTGGGCTACTGTAGTAGATGAAAAGTTAGGAAAGTAGGATATAGAAAGGAATTTAATGTATATATGTATGCAATGATAAACCATTGTTAACAAAAACAATTTAGAAAAGTTTTTTTTATACCATGTACCTACTTGAATTTTCCCAGTTTTTCCAAATTATGAAAACCGCTTGGAAAATAAATAAAATACCAAGTAGATAAAATTTCCTTTCAAGAAAGGTGCTATACTTCATACATCAGAGCAAGATTTTTTGTAGTAAACATACTCACAAAATTTAAAAAAAAAAAATTATAAAATCAATACGTTTCAAACCATGCTCCAAATCTTAAATTCTATTGACAGAGTTTTAGTTTAAATACATTTTGATGTTAACGTTTTTAATTTTCGTCAACCCATTGATGATATACTTATTCTTCTGTTAAATAATTTACTTTTAATATGTATCCTAATTATTTAAATGTAATACATAGTATTTATTATTGGTTGTTTATATAGTTATAGGGCACAAATAGTTGACATTTTGTAAATATTACCCACGAACAAGTATAATTATTATATTATATAGGTACATTTATAGAACTTTTAATTCCACAGTTTCTATTTCTATAAAAGTGTGTGATCACAGATAAGATATTAAACACATATACTAAGTATAAGGACATAAATATTTATGTATGATTTGTTATAAAAAATATCAGTTTTATCGTCTGTATAAGTTTCATGATTATCAGTTTTTACATATTTTATCATGGTCATGTTGCAACATTTTAATAATTATAACTTGAGACAATTAAAATTAATTATATTATCCTATCTATCAAAAAAATCTAAGAAGGTACACATTTAGGTTAAAAATCAAGAGTACCAGAAGTGGGCAAAAAATTTCTCAAAGGAGGCGTCCAAAAAACCAAAAACTAAACATACTTAAAATAATAAAGTTAAAACAAAATTATTAAAATTATTAAAACTCGTAAATAAATATAATAATGAAATATTTAAAAAAAATAAAATAAATTAATGAATGTGTCGCCTGTAGTAACTCAAAATTAAAAACCCATTATTACACTTAAAAATATACTATACCTAGTTAATAAAATATTAAAATAAACCACTTGCGCATGAAACGATTATAAAAAAAAAATATTCATCTAATGAAGGAAGATATGGCTCTCCTGTCTAAACTACTTAAAGTACCTATAGATCAGGTATAATATTCGTTCATTTATATAAGTATATTGTGAGCAGGTGAGGGGCTATCACTCCTGGATCCACAACTGCTAATAGTATGAAACCTGTATATGAGTATATGACGTATTAATAAATTATACTAAAAAATATATTTAAATATCTATTAAAGAAAAAATAGACATAGACAGGTAAAAAGTTTTTAATTTCTAAATTATATATCTTGCAATATAATTTTTTTTTTTTCAAAAAATCAAATTTTATTTAACTACTACCTACCTACCGTGTTTTCTATATAATAGTGCAGATTTATAATTTTATAAGGTAATATCGAGTATATTTATTTAAAACAAAAATTTTACAGAAGACACAAAAAACTGTAGTAAAGACTGAGGAGTTGACCAAATGAATAAATTACGTCATTATCCACCATTTTAAAAATTAATCATCTCGATATTTGCCAAAAATTAACATGAACGTACAATAGCAACCATTTATTTTTAAATTGTTCAACATGTTCTCTTTCTGCACAAGTACATTCAAAATACAAAGAAAGTAATAAAAACATGTAAGTATAGGTATTGATTTAAAATCTTTCTTTTATTTTTAAGAAATTTGTAAATCGAATTATTTAGTTATTTATTTAATATTAGTTGTCCTGCGTCCGGCGTTTCCCGTGAAATTTTTTTATTCCTTTATCTTTATTCCCGTATTGCTTTGCCCGTATCAGTGTATCGAACGAAAAAAAATAGGTTAGGCAATTCGGTGGACTTAAAGTGTTCTAGTGTGTTATACTTTTTTCCATCCATGTTACCATAGATATTTGCACAGCACATTAATACACGTTACTAAATTATATTATATCCACTAAAAAAACACTAAAATTATGAGGACATAATTGTTTACTCTAGTGTTATTAATGTATCAGAAAATACAAGGATTCAAAGACGAAGTTTAACGTGTTTTCACTTATCATTTACTCGTCCAGCACAGCGCATAGTTTTGTGTTTTTTTCTTCATCCATGTTACCACGGTAATAAGGACACCCATCTGTCTAAACCTAAGGGAGTGACAATCATAAAATAAAAAACTAAGAATCAACACAATTGATTTTATTAAATAACGAAATAAACACAAATTTTCTACGTGAAACAAAACAATATTTTAAAACAAAATGCTGTAAATCGCGTATTTGCAATTAAATTTTTCAACAAACTTTATATAGTGATGAACATTTTCTTTTTATAATATTATAGTAATAGTATTAGTATAGATTAAAGTTTATTATTTTAGTTGCTAATGAGTTGGTTAAATTATTTCTCAAAATTTGGAAACAGAATCCTTTGGAATGTAGGCTTTTGACGTTTCAAATTCAGAAATAGATCGTCATAGAATGACATTAATAAATAACGGGATGAAAAACTGTTGGCTGATAATGATAAGATCTGAACAAAAACCCATAGTGACTACACAAAAACCACGATGTCATAGTAACTAATTTATTGAGATATCTAGCACAAAAAGGGAAAATTTCCTAGACTCGTCCTCTTTCCACACTAAACACAAACTTTATCTATTCATATTTTCATAATGGTTTGATAGATTAGTATTATTTAGACACAAAATATATATTCAGAGTATATAAATATAAATCATAATAATATAAAACAATATATTTTATAATACCTGCTTATAATACATTTTATTAGTATTAACAAATTTTTGTAGAAAAAAAAAAAAGGATTTCGAGATGGCTCGTGCCATCCCCCCCCCCCTTTGGCTACTACACTGACTCACTGAGTGCTGGATTGCTTTGGATTTAAGACCAATTATTTATACTGAACTATATAGCCTATAATATAGGTATTAGGTCTACTATTACCTAGTTTACTTATTTAAGTATTTTAAAATTTAACACGTGAACAAAGCGGTTGTTCACAGAGCGGCCTCGAGTTTGCAAATTATAGATTACATATCAGTGCGCAATAAACGTGACGCATGCATGGCAGCGAAGCTGCGTTTCCACGGCGATTAAACGTGTCCTTTTATATCGAATCAATGCAACGTTTTCCTATCAATAGATAATTATATTAATTTATGAACTAATCAATTTCCCAAACATATACCAGCACTATCATATTATTGACTTAGTCGTTGATCGTCATTGTACATTTATACGAGTACCTAGGACCTACACGATATCCGTTGAATGTGTCATGTAGATATAAACGACCAATCATTCGTAGTAACTGATAGGTATGTGTAAATTGTAATTTTGTACCCATACTTAGCATATTTTGCTAATATCGGTCGTCCTTTATTGGTTTGTGTAATTACTGGGTCACGTAAGCCGAGAGACGGATCAATATAGCCAACGCCCAACAAAATACTGTCTTATACAAATATAACGTTCCGATCAAACATTATACATATATTAATAGGTATGTATACTAAATGTATCGACAATTATCTATAAAACAATAGTGGTCGTGGAAACGTGGCATTTAGATCATTGGGTATTATTTAATCAATGATTGTCGCTCAGATAACTGAGATAGTAATATAGTAACTATGGTAATTATATTAAAGTTATTAATGGCCAAAATGGTATCAATCTTTTCCAAAACCCCTATCTTAAGTCGTGATCTGTTCAGTGTTAATATTCTACAATATAAAAACATAACAGTTCAATAGTTTATTGTTATGTCGTCACAGTAGAATCGTTAATAAGAAGTTCATATTATTGTTTATGAAAGAAGCACGTGGTTTACGCGCCAAATTATTATATTGCCAACTATTTGGTTAGAATAAAATATTTCGAAAATCTTTGGACACATTTCACCGCCGCCAACAAAAACATAACCTTACCAAAGGTATTCTAACTACCTTACCTGAGCTGTCCCAAAATCTGAAATCATCATAGGTACTTCAATTTTTTGATTAAAATCGTTTTTATAATATAGCACACATTTGATATATACTATTTTGCCTTATTAAAATATTATGCTTTTTACTACATATTATTACTATCATGTGTATTCGCTTCATCATTTGAGTTTTAATCAGATACTAAGATGGCTTATTTAGTTTATAATAGTTTGTTTGCATTTTTCAAATTTGAAGTTTTTATAAAATAAAAACTCTAAAAATTATTTTGAACACAATAACCAGACCTAAAATATTTATAACTATCTTTTGTTAAAGGTGACTTTTAAATCAATTGAACATAGTGCCAATGGCTTGACCTCTTTCTTAAAATAATTATGATATATAGTTCATTTATAACAGTGCCAAAATCTATTTTAATCATAAACCTACTTGATTTAGTTTATTATCCAAAATAATTGTCTATTATTCAACATGATTTAATCGGTTCATTCAGACTGATTATAGTTGTCCAGGTCAATGTCATATTTAACAAATTAATAGAATCAGACATTGTTTTATCAGTTTTCTCCTAACCTTGACCTTCAATACAAATTTTACAAGATATTTATTTTAAAATTTATTTACGATTCTACAACACTGTACAACAAATAATTTTAGACAATAACTGAAATAACTCAATTTAAATATTGTACGTGTACAAAAAAAAAAACAGTAATAATAGTAGGTATATATCACTATTCACTTGGAATAATAAAAACAAAAAATAACAACATAGTTTTACTCATAATTTAATCTATTAACAGTATAATATCAAAATACTGACATTAGGCGGTGGCTTTTTTCAAATAGGCAATCAAGTTATTTCTTTCATCTACTTTCTTAATACCAGCAAACACCATCTTAGTTCCAGGTATGTATTTTTTTGGATTTTCTAAATACTCAAACAATGTTGTTTCATTCCATGTAATTCCTTTAAACAAATAAAAATTAATATATAATTTTTTTAATTAATAATAATCTATGGAATAAAAATATAAATTGTTTATTGTGTATACCTTTTTGAATGTTAGCATCGGTATATGAGAAACCGACAGCACTTCCAGTTTTACGACCAAATAAACCATTTAAGTTTGGTCCAACCTTGTGTTTGCCGCCTTTCTCGACCGTGTGACATTGAGAACATTTGGTTTTGAATACCTTTCAATTACAATAAATTATTATACATTTATAAAAACAAAACATTAATTCAGAATAACTCACTGCGGCTCCTTTATCTGCGTCACCCATTTCTATTTTTTAATTGATGAATTCAAAATATCTGTAACAATTTATAAAAAAAGGCGATTTTAGTAAATTTGGATATAAATAGGTATAAAATAATCTATTAATAAAAAGCCAATAAATGAAATATTTATTTATAATATATTTTTAATTATAAAGAATAAAGAAAAAAATAATAAATTTGATTTATAAGAAAAAATGTTACTCACGAATTAGATGACAGCAAAATGAGTGTTGTCCACCGGTCGATTGGCAAGGAAAGAGTTTAATGTTTTATTGGAAAATGTGTAGGAACTTAGGAACTGAAATGGGTTGGCTCTGATTGGCCCATATTGTGCAAAATATATGTTTTAAACCATATTGGGTGGGGACACCAAAAGGTCACAAATTTTGTCCTCCATGATAAAATTGATTAGTAATTTAGTACTGTTCCTTCCATGCGTTTTATAACATTCATAATAAAAATAATGGGTCTGTCCTTAACACAAATCATATTGCGATGAATGCATGAATGCGTAAATAGTATCTACTATCTACTGTTGTGCTATTCTTGTTTTCAGCATTCAGCTGATTAAAAAGAAGTTGATTTCAATTACCCTCCAGTTCTTGACATTTGACTTATTGTTACTTATTCAGTATTCTAACGCTACTAATTTTTAAGCAATTTAATCGTTACAAACATATTTTTTTAAAATGACTGGTTTATTAAAAATTGTCAATCCAATATCACGAAGTACTTATTTAAACATTGTAAGTATTATTTAAATTTTAATATAAGTAGCTACTTGTTAATAATCATCACAATATAATTTCTATGTATCTATACAATTATATATATATATATATATGCATAAAAAATATAGGTTCTTTAATTATTAATTTCCTTTATAATTTTTAAATAAGATGAAAGAATTAAAAAAAATCAATAATCTCAAGCTAGATTTAAATACCTAATTGGTAGACTAATAAAATAATCTATTATAATACATAATAGCTTATTTAGTAATGAAACTTTAACCTTAAAATATTTAATTACATTACCACACCTTTATTTATAAAGCATACAAAATATCTACAAATTGTATCTTACCTTTAAATTTGTGTACATTTCCTCCTGGCTTAATAAGATATATTAAATATATATTTTTATATTTCTAGTATTTTTAGTTTTGAAAATGTATGGATTTTAACTTTTTGTAGTAATTATGTTTCTATATTCGTCAAAGTTACACAATATTGCATAACATTGCAGCATGTTATAAACAAAATAATAACATATTTGATAAAATAAAAGGTACTTATTTTATGTTTTGATATTAAAAAAACAAGTTTAAAATTTTTAAATATTCTGTTATTATGTTAATATATATTAAATAAATTATATAATTATAAGTCAATAGTGAAAATCTATTAAGTCATTGAGAAGAAAGTGAAAGTACCTACTACCTATGATCCTTTAAATCTTAGTTATTTTTTCATTAACTTTGAAAATATGTAATTATAATAACATGGAACTTAATAACCTATTACATTTAAAAATAATTTGTATTAAAGTCTATATTTGTTTTAAATAATTATGCTTGTGGATGTTGAATTTAGATCCTAGGTATATAATATAATATACATTATAACCTTTAGGTTATACCTAACTTAACCAGTTGCCTAATAAATATTATATAATTAGTTATCCTTAATATATAATATGTTACAACTGTCGAAATTTTGAACTTACCCATCCCAAGCACAAGCCTTGCTTTTTGGAGCCTGTCATTTTCTTATATGTTGTTCTGAAAAAAATTAGTTTAACTTTATGTTTATTGTATATTTAACCTAAACTTTATATGTTATAATTACATATTATATTATTATTATTAAAATATGAATGTGTATTCACTAAACCAGTTATAATTATTGATATAATTGTGTAACAAAGATACATAGTATACAATACTAAAGTGTTTATGCATTCATTAAAGCGGATCTAATGATCTAAAAATATTTTACTTTTTAGTAGTTACGTTTAAATCTTGATTAAAAAAATATAAATATTCATATTTAAGTTTCCTATATGTGAGGAAAGTGTGGAGAACGGGTTAAGTGGAAGTTTAGGACGAGGGTTGCTGACTCCAGTCAGTTGGGATGAAGGCGAAGAAAAAGAAAAAGAAATTTAAATTTCTTTAATTAAAAACCATTAAAAACTTATTAATTACTTTTATTTTTATTTTCAGAATAATTGGAGCCGTCCATTTATTTGCACAAGAAATATACACCAAACTCAACACTATTCTTCTAAAACAGCAGTAAATATATTTTGAAATTAAAATACTTGATTTTTGTTTTTCTTAGTATATTTTATAAGTATTAATACTTATTAACTGACAGTTAACAGTTATCGGTATAGTTGTTGAACATTAATTTTATTGATATAAATTTTAGGGAACTAGTGCATATTCTGTAATTGATCATGAATATGATGCTGTTGTGGTTGGTGCTGGAGGGGCTGGTCTTCGTGCTGCTTTTGGATTAGTCCAAGAAGGTTTTAAAACAGCAGTTATTACTAAACTTTTTCCAACTCGATCTCATACAGTTGCTGCTCAAGGTGGAATAAATGCAGCTTTAGGGAATATGGAAGATGATGATTGGCGATGGCATATGTATATATAAGTCATTTTAATTTTACAGTCTTTATAAAATATTTATTGATTCTAGGACACATACTTTAGTTTATTATTAATATTAATTATAAAAAGATAAATATAGATTTGATCTGATTGGATTTGAATTTGGTAAAATTTAATAGTATTAAAATTTGTAAATGTACCTATTACCTACACATTTTTTTGAATATTTGATTTAAAACTAACTTATTTTGTTTTTATTTCAGGTTTGATACTGTTAAAGGATCAGATTGGTTAGGTGATCAAGATGCTATACATTACTTAACTAGAGAAGCTCCTGCTGCAGTCATTGAATTAGAAAATTATGGTAAATTAAAATAATATATTAAATTAGCTTCAATTTTAAAATACCTGAAACTTTAAAATGGTATGTATTAAAAAAAAAATGAATATAGAAATACTATATTTTAAGAATTTTGAAATTTTTAAACTAGTAGTATTACTGGAATGTATTATAATATTATTAACTTCAGTTTATCTCTTTATAATTATAGTGCCAAGCAGGCTTCTATAAAATCTTATATTATTCAATATTGTAACGTTCCAGAGTCTGAGCCCAGTAAAGTTGTGCACCAGTTAAAATAAGTATTGTTTTTGAGTTTGAGGTTATGATGGAATATTCGTGATGTCTAGTTCAGGAATTGCTGAATCAGAAATATTTAATATATATTCATGGGACACTCTGTATATAGTACATTAATATCTGAAAAATTGAATATATGCTGTTGAGGATCCAACATCATCACAAAACCAATTTTTTAACTTTCATTTTCTGATGCTTACACTTCAATTTTTGATTTAGAATATAAAAATTGATATTAATTTTATTTCTTTGTGGAAAAATGGAGCAGGACTCCATTAGTATTAGTGTCAAAAGGAATATGCTATTTCTGTTAAGTTCTGGATTTCATGTTTTGTTGTTTTTGATACCAAATTTGCTTACAAATGATTTCTACTAAATAATTATACAATACACAATTAAGAATTAATAGATTTTTGTTATTTTAATGTACAACTAGAGAGAGCTAATTACTATTAATTATAAAAACTTAATTAACTTTTAGAATATAATAAATTGGTAGTTATGACTTATTTACTCATGCTTATATTTTAGGAATTTTGTATTATAATAATTAGAGTACACAAATTATTGTACCTGTTATTTAAATAAAATAATACAAGTGTTCAAAAATAAAATAGTTTAAATTTTGAAGTTTGTGGATTCTTTTGTGTATTGTTATAATTGCAGTAATTTTTTAAATTGTATTATAGGTATGCCTTTTAGTCGTACTGATGAAGGCAAAATATATCAGCGTGCATTTGGTGGTCAAAGCTTAAAATATGGAAAAGGTGGCCAGGCTCATCGAACATGTTGTGTAGCAGATAGAACGGGTCATTCTCTCTTGCATACGTTGTATGGATATTCTTTAAAATTTAATTGCAACTATTTCGTGGAATATTTTGCTTTGGATCTAATAATGGATAAAGGTGAATGTGTTGGAGTAATCGCTTTATGCTTGGAAGATGGGACTATTCATCGCTTTAGAGCTAAAAATACTGTTAGTATTTTTTTTTTCTTAACTATAATATTTTATTTGATATAATTATGGTTTTTATTTTTGTATAGGTTTTAGCTACTGGTGGTTATGCTAGAGCCTATTTTTCGTGTACAGCTGCTCATACATGTACTGGTGATGGCCAAGCTTTAGCATCTAGAGCTGGCATTCCAATGCAAGATATGGAGTTTGTACAATTTCACCCTACTGGTATTTATGGTGCTGGATGTTTAATGACAGAAGGTTGTCGAGGTGAAGGGGGATATTTAATTAATGGTTTGGGTGAAAGATTTATGGAAAAATATGCGCCTAATGCTAAAGAATTGGCATCAAGAGATGTTGTATCTAGATCAATGACTATTGAAATCATGGAAGGAAGGTAAGTACTTTAGTTTTAAATATTTAAACACTGATAATCAGAATTAATAACTATAACAGTTAGTGATAATATTATAATAAAAATACATATTATTAAGTAAATATTAAATACATAGTTTATTAAAATATTGTATCTAAAAACCGGAATTATATAAATTAGCATGTTTATATTGAGTGTATGCATCAATATGAGAGTTTGAAATTTCGGAGTTTGAAATGGAACTGATTTTATAGAGATCAAATTTTATTTTGCATATAATTCCATATTTTTAGGGTTGGGATATATTTTGTAAAATCTTGGTAAAGAATCAAATTATTTCATTTCTTCATTTGGAAATTAAAATTTTTATCTACTCCCAAAAAATATTTAATTTTGTCAACACGATATAGATTATAGAAGATCATCTTAAGTACCGTGTTATCAATATTGATAAACTATTAAATAATAATCAAAAATTATTAAAAAACATAATTATAAATGTACTAGATAGTTGACTGATTCTTATGAATGAGTTCTTCTGCCATTTGCTTTGTGGGTATTGTTTATATTTTGCTTTATGTGATAACTGAAGTTGTGGGCTGTGAAGAACTTTTAATTGTAATATTTAAAAGTGAGATTGTGGGCTATTGCTGTAAATTAGGTAAATTTGACTTGTTTATTGTTATAAATATTATTTGTTATTATTATTATTATCAGTGTCAGTATTATCATTAGGTACCTATGTGCTAACAGATGTAAACAAATCCCATACTGCACAATATGACACTTGACTTCAATGCACTGGGCATCTGAAAATTTGGTCTCCCCACAGCTAAATTGTTCCAACAAATTTGTAAGTTATAGCATTATAATTGTAAGTAAATGTAAGTTTATTCCTGGAATTTGTAAGTTAGCTTTAACTAAGTTATTAAACAAATTACATTTTGGGCCACATTATATTTAATATAAACACTAAACATCAAACAGGAAAAACAAAACATATACTCATATAAAGAACGCATTATATAATGACTGGATGGGGAAAATATCTGTAATCTCTTAATACTAATAAATTGGTATTCACGCCAATAGTCACATTCCGTTAACAACTTTCTATTGGAATCAACTTTATTATACATAAATGTGGAACTGATACAAAAAATTGCAGCTGTAAACTAATTAAAATAGTATTATTATTCAAATATGTAGGAGTGATTATAGATTTGAACCTGAAATGGTCACAACATATTCAGAATATCAAAACTAAAATGAGAAGCTAAACTGTTTTATTCTACAAAATTTGTTTTCTTGATCAATCAATTATAAGACTAATTTACATGGCACTGTGTAATTCAGTATTATTATATGGCATAAAATGCTGGAGAGGCACTTATAGAAATGACATTAATTCATTGCACACTACTCAAAAAATTATTGTAAAAGTAGCGTACTCCCTTCTATTAAAATTCTAAACAGGGGAATTATTCAACTATAAAAATATCTTATTTATTTATAAATATAATAGACTGAAGAACGTTAAAATACATTAAACCGCCATTTAAATTATTAACTTGCACAAGAACCCTTCCCCTATTGCAAGGGTAAAACTATGTTTAACAATTTAAAAAAGCCATGTAAAGAGTGTAATAAAAATGTTATACGAAAGTCAATCTAATGACCCAATGACTCAATCAATACTAATGATATAATTAATAAATAAAATAGTTAATGAACTTGATGAGAATGTGTGTATTAATCAAATAATAAATAATCAATATGTTTAAAACTAATATCTTTTCTTATCTAATGCTGATTCATTTCAAACTTAAATTATGTTACTTTTATTTAATTAAATTGTATTTTTAATTTTATAAATATCTACTATATCAATAATAATTATATATTGAATAATATTGATGAACTCCGTGTACCAGGTACAAGCTTTGGCTCAGTTGGTATACATATCAGCTATTATTATTAATAAATTTTATTTATAGATGGTTTGAATAACACTGATTTTTGAAGTAAGTATGTAAGATAAAAAAGAAAAAAGAGAACTGGGTTCTTTTTTTTATAAAAATAAAGATAGAATGGTCTTTATATAATAATCAATCCCTTACTAGGGTATTTATTTTTTTTTAAATAATATTTATCACATTGTATACTAGATATCAGAAAAAAATATGTGTTGTCGTTAAAAATCCAAATACTAAAAAAATATTTGCGTCATGATAGGTACTCCTTGAAAATATTTCATCATCGTTATTTATTACTTTTTCATGTAATAAAAATTTAGTATGTATTTTAGCTAATTACAGTTTTTTAATAATATAATAATTTTCTGTTGATACACTTAAGTTAAATTAATACAAAACTTAATAAAGAACTTCTTTAGCCCACTATTATTTTATGTATAAACCTAATAAATACAATACCTTATTACTTGCTTATAATTTGTCTGAATCGATTTGGCCGTGGGTACTGCTATTCAAAACCTAATTTGTTCAATAACTTAGGGCTAATTTACAAATTCTGGAAATAATTTTATATTTACTTACATATAAGGGCTATAACTTATAACCCTTATATGTAAGTAATGGGGGCCAATTATACAAACGTACACACTGGCTGTGTAGGGAAGTTGGCATTCTAGTAGTTCTGTGTATCTGTTGAAAATAAACTTCTTAAGGTTACATACAAATTTAGTATTCATTTGTTGCCTACACTGAACATTTGAACTGTTGTCTTATTAATTATTGTGAACTATGGATGTGTTTTAATCATAACTGACAATTATATAATATAATTTAATTTTTTTTAAGTAGTATAAATTTATTGGTATATTACCACATATTTTGTAATTGTTAGTGCATACAATTGTATATTTAAGAACAATACCATAAAACTGGTTTTTGAAAACAGTCGGTATCCAATCCCCATAAAAGGTCTTTATCCTCAGTGTTTAGAGCAGAATAATTCAGATGTTTATCCTAATTTCTATTGCAGTACATCAACATTTTCAGGAAAATCATCTGATTGACAATTTGCATTGAAACATGTGGGTTCTCATTTAAAAAACCAAAGTTGGTATCACTATAGGTATCGTCACTCCTTAAATGTTATGAAAAATCTAAGTATGCAAAATTATTGTCTTTTGCTACTTAAAAATTTGAATTTATGCATAATTTGAGCATGCTTAAAAACACTTTGTATACATAAAGTCTTCCTGGATTTTAAACTAAAATTCTTACAAGAATGATGTGTCATTATTAAATACTATTATAGTAAATCGAAAATACCTAAAAATCAGTTTATATAAATTAATGTCATTAGTCAAATTAACATGAACACAGTACTGGCACTAGGGGAGGATAAAAGAGACATAAGGCCAGAGCCCTGTGCTTGTTTTGGTTTGAATAGGCACTGTGGTATATAATTATATAGGTATATAATCATTAGTTATACTAAAGCAAAACCTAGCGCCACTGCTGCATGAACATGTATTGTTATTTTTAAATTATAAAAATCAGTGTGCCACGTGTGTGAACATTGTTTATTTGTAGTGCTGTTGTCATTCTAAATTTCCAAAAAGAAAAACTAATAATATGAAAATAAACTTGTTATTATTTTTAAATACAGTGAAACCTCCCTTAACAGACATCTCTAAGTAGCGGACAATTTTTCTGGAAGGGGGACATTTTCACCACTTTTATATAGGAAAACCTCTAAATACCGGACACTCTTAATAATGGACACTTTTATGACAATTTTATGACAAATCAAGGTCTTAAACAAGCTAAAGTAACTGACTTTTTCAATAAATGTTTTTTTTATCTTAAAGTAATTTTTATTTATATTTTCATTAATATTTTTACATACATAATAATAACATTATTTTAAATAATATGTACAATATTAATATTTGTTTTAAAATAATACAAATATACATATTACATGTATAAATGTTGTACATAGTTATTAATTATAATATAGTGAATACCTCTAAATAACTGACAAAAAAGACGGCAACCAAGAGTGCCTGATATTTAGAAGTTTCACTGTATTAATATATGTTGAGTATTGGGTAGTGCATAAAAAAAAAAAAAAATGTGTGTGCAAAACTACAAATTTATTATTAATTATTTTTCATTTAATGATTCAAATAACTCTGACTGAAATATCACATGCTTATTGTATTGTATGTTATATATTTTAAGTTTTGATTATCAAATAATTAATTTTTGTAGAGGATGTGGCCCTGAAAAAGATCATGTATATCTCCAATTGCATCACTTACCAGCTGAACAATTACATGCTAGATTACCTGGTATTTCAGAAACTGCTATGATATTTGCTGGAGTCGATGTTACTAAAGAGCCTATACCAGTATTGCCAACTGTTCATTACAATATGGGGGGTGTACCAACAAACTACAGAGGACAGGTTGAATTATTATTTAAACTTATTTTACTATAATTTGTGTATATATTACTTATTGCTCTTCATTGTTAATTTAATTAATTTATATAGGTTATTAATCCTGTGAATGGAGAAGATAAAGTTGTTCCAGGATTGTATGCTTGTGGTGAAGTAGCATGTACATCTGTTCATGGAGCTAACCGTCTTGGTGCTAATTCATTACTAGAATTAGTGGTATTTGGAAGATCTTGTGCTTTAGATATTGCTAAAAATAATAAGCCAGGAGATAAAATACCACAAATTAATGAAGTGTGTAATTGTATATTATTTTTATAATTAAATATTAAAAGTAAGTATTAGAAATAATATATGTATAATTTTTTTGAAGAATGCTGGTGAAGAATCGGTTGCTAACATTGACAAATTACGTTTTAATAATGGGACAATACCTACTGCAGATTTACGTTTGGATATGCAAAAAAATATGCAACTTTATGCGGCTGTATTTAGAACTGGTGAAACTTTAGATGAAGGTTGTAAAAGATTGCAAGCTATTTATTCAAAACTAAAATATATCAAAGTAAGAAAAAAATGTTTATATATTAGTTTAAAATAAATTAATGTACTTATCAATAATAATACAATTTAGAAGTTGCAGCAAATCATAAATATTCAATAAATATAATTGATCAATACTGTTATTATTATTATTATTATTTTTGACATAAAATTGGAAAGTCATCATTTTATAAATACTAGTACTAGTAAATCAAGTTAATAAAAGTTATAAAATCAAGTTATAAAACAAGTTTTATATAAGTTTCATTTTTTTTAATATAATAATATTCACCTTATAATACATGTTAAACTTGATCTATTTAGGTTAATATTTTGTTATATATATATTATTATTGTTTTATAACTAGGGCCCAGAATTATATGCATTAAAAACGTACGAAAAATATGCATACATGTGTGCACTGATTATCATTAAAATATGCAAACAAAAATGATTACAACTAGTCCCGACTGAATTATCTTTATCTATAAGTGATTAGATAATATAAGAAAACAAATTTGTATGAATCATAGGTATATGTGGGTAAAACCAATAGATGTGTTTGAAACACTTAGATATTCGACTATAATGCAATGAAAAATTGTAAAATACAGATATATGTAGTACACATTAAAAATATGCTAAATAAAACTTTATATTTCGAGTCTATTAATTATAATTCAAACTTGTAGCTCATTTAATTACTTTTTGGGCTGTTCAAAAAAACATGCAAATGCATATAAATCTGGGCCCTAGTTATATCTATTAAATCAAGAAAAATTTGGTTAGTAAAATTATCTTATGATAAAATAGTTTTAATAACTTCTACCTTTAAAAAACTTGACAAGTAAACATTTGGTTTATCCAAAATAATAAAAACCTCTTAAACATATATTTAATAAATCTACCTTTTTTCTACTTTAAATGTGTAGTCTTACTAAAAAATAACAGTTCTTTAAAATAATCTTAGTGTCTTATGCACATTAAATAACTAATTTTATTTATTTCAACTTGTAATTTTAATATATCACACATATTTTTATAGTAATTCAAGTTGATGTAAAGGTTTGATAAACTTCATATTCTAAAAAATGTTATTATATAGATTAACGATCGATCAATGGTTTGGAATTCGGATTTAGTTGAATCGTTGGAATTACAAAATTTAATGATTACTGCGCAACAAACAATTGTATCTGCCTCAGTACGAAAAGAATCAAGAGGTGCACATGCACGAGATGATTTCAAAGTAAGGTTTCTTTAATGGTATTTTTTCACTTTGGTTTAATTTATATACACATATAATATATTTATATTTTTGTTTTTATAGGATCGTGTTGATGAATTTGATTATAAAAAACCATTAGATGGACAAACAGTGAAACCAATTGAAGAACACTGGAGGAAGCATACTCTTGCACACATCAATCCTGATTCGGGAGAGGTTTGTAGAATATAAGCGTAATAAAAACTTAAATCTGTGTATAGTATTGCTGTAGTACAAAGATTTATTATTTATAAAAAATTGGTGGAAAATAAAATGAATTCAATGCTTGATTAGCAAACAACCTAGGAGCTCATACATAGCGTATATTATATGTGTTTCTAGTTTTTGAAGAATTGTAATAACCTTTATGCTAAAAAATTATGTTAATTTGAAAGGGTATTCTTAAATATTAGATAAAATAATACCAAATATGTTTGCCAAATTCAAGCACTGGATTTATAACTTACCTATGTTAAATAACTTGGCCAAGTTAAATAGGACAATATTATAAATCTTTATATTTATTTTATTTTTAATTTTTTAGATAAAATTAACCTACAGACCTGTGATTGACAACACACTGAATGAAAAAGAATGTTCAACAGTACCACCTATGATTCGATCTTATTAATATTTAACATTCAGTAACTAATTATTGCTCGTATCTCTAGTCTGCCCACATATAATAAAATCATAAAACAGGTCGTGCTTGTTAGCATTTAAACAATATGTACTTCAAATACTCAAAATAAAATATTTGAATAACTAACTATTTTATGTTATTGATATTCAAGTAATATTACGAGCACAAATTCAAAGAAAGTATTAATAGATATAATAGTAAAATTAAAATTACTTAAAGTTATTGTTATTGTTTTGTAATTTTTGTTTGTAAATATTTGTTTTCATCCTATAATTCAGTAAATTTTGGTAATATATTTATTTTTCATTCACAGATAATACAATTTTTAGTGTTATAATTTGTAATTATTTATTTATTTATTATAAATGCTAGGCAGCAATTACAAAGATAGGCAAAAAAATAAGAATGTAAGTATAAATAAATATTAAAGTTAATATCTGAACTAAAACTAAAATTGAACTCGTGTAATTAAAATTTTAATTTTAAACTATTCGAAAACAAAAATGTTTATTACTTTCTATTAATTTTAAAATATTTGTCAACTCTTGATCTGAATCAAAATTAATAAACTACAATAACAAAATGTGGTAATTCTTCACAATCTTATCATAAATGAAATGATAGTCCAAAAATTAATTTAAAAAAAACCATTTAAAGTGTTTTCTAAGACATTAATAAATTGGTAATCAAATTGTGTAGTTTAAATCCATACCTAATATAGTTTTATCTTGCAATTCACATTAGTAGTGAGCTACCCAATAAACATGATTATTTAGAGAATAATGATAAGTCTTATCAATAATAATAATAGTTTTTGCGATTATTTATTCATAATTATTTAAGTCAATATTTTGTGTTTTTAAATTTTGTTAATAGTTAATTATTAAAAAAAATTTAAATTGGTTCTGACAATGCCGTAAATTGATTGGAACTTCATACCTAGAAAATTTTAATGAAAATTAACTCAATTTAATTGTTGTGTAAGTACCAAGTACCAAATTAAAATACCTAATATTATATTCAAATACCTACAATATAAGTATTATTTTAAAATACGATTACTCAATGCCATTGACTTTAGGTTCCGTGATAACTGTGTACTTAACAATTTTGTCGACTAGGTAGTCATTTTTGGCCACAGATAAAATACCTAAATCCCTACCCTTGTTTATAAGTAAACCAATACCCTATCTATAAATTAAATGTTGTGTCCATTCGTCAATACTTATACATATTAATACATTATATAGGTGCATTGCATATAGGGATGACAATTTTTTTTAAAAAACAATTCTTCAATGTGTCTTTCAAGCCATCGATTTTGTGAATATCAAAAGTTTGAATAAAAATCGATAATTTTAGAAAACATTTTCAATTTGAAACGAACATGTTTCTGAAATGAATTATGACACTAGTATAAGCATATTCAATGGGATAGCCTAATGATGATTTTTTTGAAATTATTTGTGGAATATTATCTGTAGTTCTTCAGGTTACACTGGTAGTCTAGTCTAAACTAGACTTTAGTGGATTGACCCATTTCTGATATGCGTGGTGACAACAGATGAGAGGAGATACCATGGTGCATGATGTTTTTAAATGGTATAGCTTCGATACGAGAAAACCTGGAAGAAGTTAACAACAGGCTTGAGGAATGGAGAGTAGCACTTGAAGGAAAGGGACTAGGGATGATTTTGGATAATTAAGTGAATTGCAAACTATGACGAAGTTAGGTCTATAGTTATTATTACTTAATTAAAGTTTTTTTTTTTTGCGATGTGTCAATATTTTTCCCTCTCGATACACCCAAGTTTTCGATATTTTAAAAGTCAATGAATCGAAATATCGAATATCGATGTTCAATTTTTCCCATCCCTAAAAGGGACTAAGGATAAATAAAAATTATATAGAGTGTATTATAAAGTATGAGTTTTAAGTTTTGTATATAAGACCGGTGGCATTTTGATAAGTTACGTACATCGCGATAATATTACATATTTCTTAGAAAGACAGCGCAAAATTCCTATTTTAAACGCTATTTTTTACTAAAATAAAATTATGAATTCAATAAATTATTATTTAATTTGTAGTTATATTATTTATGTCTCTGTTAAAATAAAATATGTAATAAATTAATTTCTTTTTCTCTTATCGGTAACGTCAAATGTAAATGAAATGATTTATTATATCGACAGAATTAATATTTAGACAACATTTTATAAAATTGGCAAAAATAATAGTTTATTTTATAGATCGAAATAAGTAGCGCATAACTTCATTTTTCAAAAAAGGCGAATTTCATCTTGCACATATAAAAAAATAAGCTATGATTGTAGAAAATCCTTTGTGATTAAAATTAAAATAATCTTAGAAACTGGAGTTATTCAATGAATACATATTTTTATTACCTTTGTCTAGAAGTGAATTGATTTTCAAGTTATTTATAGTTATTGGAATTCCCAATTTATTTTGTTTTATGTGGATAAAATACCTAATTTGTCTTTCTTATCAAAAATGCTCCAAAATCTGATACAATAAGGTTCATTGTAAGTTATTCCATTGTTTATAATTAATATTATTCTACTACTAATAGTATTAGTATTTATAATCAATGGTTGTTCTTACAACAGTATACAAATATCGAAAATCCATATTCACATTTTTATAATCGTTTAAAATTCAAATTTTTATCAATATTATTAAAATTATGGCATTTCAAATCATTCGTTTCGAGTTAAACAAAACTTCATTTAGAATTATTTTTTGTTACCATTGATTTATCTTTTCATAAGTAATGATTTAAATTAAATTTGTTTACATATTATACCTTTCTAATCTTCCTTCCACAGCAGTAGCACATCCATCCACATTCAGCAGTAATTTCTTCTCCTTTGGTTTCATTATAACTATTCGGAGACGACCAACCTCGTCCTAAACTTCCACTTGATCCAATCTCCCTCATCATCCTCGCATATACTATATTTCCTTATACCATTCATCTTCGCATCCAAGCACCTCTTTTTCGGTCTTCCTCTTCCCGTCTATTCTCCTACGTGTATTATTTTCATTACCATTCTTACTGCTTCCGATTCCTCTCTTCACATGATACACCTAAACCATTTCTGTATATTATCTCTTATTTTTTAATTTATACACATAATAGGTAAAGAAAAGCCGAAAAGGAGGTTGATTGTGATTGAGAATTGACTTTTAAGGACAATCAATGTATGTGACGTAGAAAATCAAGTCAAGTGGAAATTTAGCCGTATATTTTTAAAATTTTTAACGAGTAATGTACTGGTCAAAATGATGATAAATATTAATAATAATATTTGTCTTGGTTAATAATTGTAAACGGATTTTTGTAAAAAATAGTGTTTCGTTTATAGTGAGTTTTTTATTTTTCATGTATCTTCCGTTTTTGCTACTGGGATTTTCGGCACTGCTTAGTGTGGTGTACGTTTATTTGCCTATAGATATGCTCCTCCAAATCTAAGTTGAATGTCATACTAAATTATTTTTTATTGTGATATGCAGATATGCAAGAAAAACGATTCTAACCGAAGTCGGTTGAACGTGTTTTAAAGCGATACGATTTTCACAATTTTCTTCAATTCCTATATATAAAAAAAAAAAAAAAAACAGTGACTACGGATTTTCGATATTTTTATAATGCTATAAGAGCAACCTTGTGTAACATTTTAAGCTGTATATTAATATGAAAATGGTGACTATATGTGTAATATTGTTATTTCTTTCGTAACATGCATTATACTGTATTTTTTGATTCGCGACATTTTGACATGAAACCGGATGCTCATAATATTATTATAAAGTATTCGTGGTATGTGCTATTTGACATACCTATACCGCTATAGGTAGTCTATTATTGAAAAAGAATGGGTATACGGAGTGTATCAATTCTTGTTTCAAAGAACGTACATTCTTTTTTCTTTTTTTTTTTTTTGTAAAGAATTTATGATAATTGTACACCCGCAATAATAACGCTGGTAAAATAGTAAACACCCGCTAAAGATCCGCTATATTATTACCTATAAAATATACATACCTGTACTATTATTACGTAATACTAAGACCTCTGATAACCGACGAAAATTAATTTTTAGAAAGCTTTTGTAATGTAATATTACAATTTATCTCGTATATACTGCAGAGGGCAGTTTTACTATTGTTAGTTGCTAGTTATAGTTAATACTGATATAATTGGCACAAATATCGGGGTGTTTCTCCCCCCCCAAAACCCTACAATTTCCTTCCCCCCCAAAAAATCAAGCTCTCGTTGAATAAATATTCTTGTATAGTGTATAATATAATAAAATATTAATCAATGTTATGAAGCGTCCAAGTGAGAACTTTCCAAAAAAATAAACATAAAATTATATTATTCGGAATAATTGCTTCTATTCGTTTATAACATTAATTATTTTACCAGAGCATATTATTTTTGTGTGTAATACGAAATGCAATGCGTATAACCCAAAGTTATGAAATGCGTTATGATTAATGATTAGAGATTATTTATAATACAATTAATCCAGCGGTCAAAATTTAAAAAAAAAAAAACTATTTTTCCTTATGACACGTCTTTATAATAAGTATAAGTACCTATAGATTGTACTGTACACCAGCGGTTCGCGTCACCTTCTTTTAAATTCTGAGCGAAGCAAGGAATGTATTGATTTTACTGTGTTTTTGTATGACTAAACAACTTTTTCCCTTGCTAAAATTAAACATTTTATAGAAATTTCCTCTCAGCATTTTTTTTATCTATACTTGGTGCATCGAGGAAGTTATTGTTTATTTTTCTAGAAGTTTTCTCGATAAATGGAAAAGTTTAGCAATCATAATTTATATTGTTGATTTCTCGGTTACCTTTACAACACAGAAGTACGAATTATCGTACTCTGCTCAGAATTATTTTTGTTTAGCTATGGTTTATCGTTGCGTATACACATTTCAATTGAATTGCTCTGTACAATTTAGGTAGCCTCCTTGCAAACTTCCCTCCTAGGGGCACACACGCATCAGCCTTTTGTGTAGTTGCGCCTTACGGTGGTAAAAAATATGTTTACTGTGTAGAATGTCAAACTAATTATTGATATTGTTTTAACGATATCCGACCGCAATGTTCAGAAAAACCATTCCGCGGTACGAAATTTGTGCCCGTTCGAAACTGAATCCGCCGTTCGATTCGAGGGCATTAGCGACCATCAAACGGGTGGAGCGGATTTTTTTTTTCTCCTCCACACAAGTACACATACACATCATTATAGCCGCGTATTTATATACTCTCTTTCACCGTAAATCGCAATCACATGACGTATCCGGTAGGTATGCGTAATCGAGAGCGCGCGCGCCGCCGGTTATATATGTACCTACGGTACACTTGTAAATAAATACTTGTATATAAATATATCAGTGCGTGCTGCTGTACACTATGTACAATAATGTATTATGTTAGGTATGAAATTATTGTATTCGTTACGCGGTGCGGTATACAGGAAATCACAAACGTTTACGGTTCCGGCGTACCCGTGCGGTAATTTCACCCGTGTCCCAGTGGCGTTCCCGAAATTGCTGGTGAGAGCATGCTATAATAACATCCTGTGCCTTACATGGGGTATTTTTATACGTTTCTTTGTATATTGTTCAATTTGAACAATTAACATTATGAACTTGTGTATAGGTGGTCGATCGCGAGCTGACCATTTTTGATTCGAGCAAGATTTTTAAAAAACATTTTTAAAGAAATTAAAAAAAAAAAATACACATCTTAGTAAAATCAATATCCTGCGATCAGAGTGGCCTGTTCTCAAATAAATCTAACAAGGTGTTAAATCGAAATATGATCAAAAGCAAATTTATTTTCAATCAATTCAAAAAATCGTTCGTATTCTCGGATAGTTTTGATCTTAGTGTTTGATTTCTCATTTCGATTGCTATTTATAAGTCGTAAACTTGTTTTTTTAAATATTATTTTATAATTTAATCCGTGATAAACATTGCAATGTTAACAATTTCAAAATTGTGTGTATTATTTTCACTGTAATAATTTTTTTCATAATTTATTTATTACCTATGTACAGTGGCATTATACGTTGTCAATGTAACTCAATTTAATTTCAAACAATGAACAAATTTTTATAAAAAAAAAAACATTTAAGAGACATATATATCTACGTAATAACCATATAGCAGTTTTTCAATATACCTATTAATTATAGAAAAAGTTATTTAAAAAAGCGATTTATAAATTAATTTGCTGAACCTTTTCTTTAGTATTTTCTTTTAGTTTCTTTCGTGATTAGGCATGCAATAATTATTGTAAAATATTTGTGACAATAAAACAAGAATAATTGTACATTTATTTGAAAGTGAATTTGAATATGGTTGTGGTAAATGTAGGTAGATAAATTATAATTTTTACTAAACTATCGTGGAAATAACCTATAAACAATAGTGTTATGTAACTAAAGGTGGCCATTATCAAAGAATAGCTGATCAATTGTTTTATTTCATGGAATAAAAACTCTTTTTAGGGATAATAAGCGATTTGACAATCGAAAAACCGATTGAAAGTAATATTTTCGATTTTCAATATCTATTTGATTACTGTCAGAATATTCTCGAACGAAATATAATCTATTTAAAAAAGAC